ACTAAAGTACAGAAAGGAGGTGTCGGATGGGGACATTTTGGAATATGTATGGGTAATAATCAAGCTCAGTATTTTTGTTTTGATTAGAACTTTTTTTGCATGCTGAAAAAATAGTTATTATGTAGCCTTATATATTACATTTCAACGATCAAAATTTTCTATACACAAGTTTTTATGATGAAAATAAATGTTCCGATCATGTACTTTAAACCATGTAAAACAAATATTCTGATCAGAGTAAGCTTTCTTTAACCCTCACCCATTCAGTGTAGTTCTAGTTTTGTTATTGTAGTTTTAATGGGTCTAAAGTCTGATACCTCTTCTGTCCATGTGTCATCATCCTCCTCTACCTCTGTTCACATGCTTTCCTTACTTTAACCACTCAAACTCAGATGAAGATAGCCGCAATCTTTATATAACGCTTTTCGCAGGCCAGGATCACAATGGGCCTCATTCACGAATAACTTTGTAAGAAACTTGTTAAATTTCTTCTCAAGTCGTTCTTAAGTAGATTTCTAAGAAGACCCTACGTGGGATTCACCAACGTGCTCGTAAGGCGCTGAATTGTTCGCAGCTGTTCTCTTAGATTGATGAATGCCATTTCCTCGTAAGTACAGCGCGCGTGTCCGGTGATTCATTAGCATAGGTACTTAGCATAGGTAACCGCCCATTAATGCCCATATAAGGGACTGCAGGGCCGTGTGCATACACCAGAGGAAACGGCAACAGGCCTAAAGCAAAGAGTTACACGGAGCAAAAGAGTCACCCTTTTTTCTTCTTTTGCCAGACTGAGAATAAAGTTATAAAATGTTGACTTAAAAGTTGAAATATTATGAGAATAAAGTCGAACTAGCAAAATTATGAGATTAATCTAAGAATATGATGAGATTAATCTCAAAATGTTATGAGCTTAATCTCAAAATGTTATGAGCTTAATTTAAAAATATATTATGTATTATTTTAAAGATTAATCTCAAAATGTTATGAGCTTAATTTAAAAATATAATATGTATTATTTTAAAGATGAATCTCAATGTTTTGAGATTCATCTCAAAATATTTTGGACCCTGGGAGGAGATTCAGCGCGGACCAGCGCTGAGACCAATGCAGACCCGAGGAGATACTGGAGTGACCAGCACACAGAAACCAGCGTGGACCTATAGGAGAGACCGCAAAGACTGTAGTGACCTGACTGGAGAGACCGGTGCGCAGAGACCAGCGCGGACCGAAGAGAGATCGCATAGACCAGACTTGAGAGACCAGCGTGGACCCGTATGGATCCAGGAGCATGCAGCACGGACCCGTATGGAGAGACCAGTGCAGACCCGTCTAGAGCCATGGGAGAGACCAGTGCAGACCCGTATAGATCCATGGGAGAGACCAGTGCAGACCTGTATAGATCCATGGGAGACACCAGCGCAGACCCGTATAGATCCATGGGAGAGACCAGTGCAGACCCGTATAGATCCATGGGAGAGACCAGTGCAGACCTGTATAGATCCATAGGAGAGACCAGCGCAGAGACTCAGTGTGGACCCCGTAACCTCCTGCAGCAGCAGTATATATGCCGTTGTTCTGTGGCTCGTGGATAAAGAAATGCTCCCTATAAATAGGAAGGGGTCACTAATACACAGCAAGATTTCCAATGTATTTGATAAAGCGTTGGCACATTTCATTTCAAAATGAATAAAAAAATAGGCCAGATCTGCAGTGAAAAAGGCGGTATATAAATAAAGATTACTACTAAAGATTACTACAAATAAATAAATACATACATCAATATGACGGACATATCACTGGAATGTTGTATTTTTATTAAACTTCACCAAAGAGGACAACCCCGGCGTGTGAACATGTCGGCACTGAATGCGTACGAGTGCTCCTGAGGACTCGTAGGATTTGTACTTGCCCAAGAGAAATTCTGGTTACGAGAAAAATTTGTGAATGCCACTTTCTTCGTAAAAACCTCGTAAGTAGGATTTACGTACAAATCTGTTCCTAAAAACCGTTCGTGAATGAGGCCCAATGTGCTTTACAATTTGGCCAAGATCAGGTTGGAAGAAAATTAAGAGTGAAACTTGGGACAAGATATTTATCACGGGTCGTATGTGAGTTCATCACTCATTTATGTAATGACACATTTTGCTGTAAACGTTTGTAGAGCCATTTAAACTAACTTTTTATAGTTTAATTCTGTTAAACAAGAAAAGTTTGTTTTTTTCCCCAAAAATGTTGTACTTCTGTCTTCCATTCACAAGATGCAAACCTCCCTTTTAGCCAATTAGCCACTTATAGTTAATTCAGGTAACACAACACTAACCCTATAGAAAGAATAAACATATTTTTCAAGACAAATGACATGCTGTAAGTACATTTGGCAAAATGCTGTTTGAGCTTCAGAGGAAGGACATAAGTTAACGGGGGTGTTGTTGGCAGGCTGCATCCCCCAGGGTTGCTTGCGGTTTGATATAGAAAACCTGGATGTACTTGTGTCCTTGGCTACAGTACAGTGTCTGTACTTCCTGACACCCTTTCTTCATCTCGCTCTATGTTTGGCGTGTGCCAGCTCTGTCCAGTCCTGCTGGACCCGAGTCCGAGTGGGAAGTGGATGTAAGAGGTGTGAACGTGGCTCCTCATACATAAGACAGCGTTATGTAAGACTGATGGAATTCATTTATTTCCTGTCCTAGCCTGAATTTACATACAGCATTTTTTCTTGTTATTATGATTATCTGGGCTCTATATTGTAGAGCGTCTTTGATCTAACCTCACAGTTTGAGTGATCCAGGTGGCCAATGTTCATGTATTGTGTGGCTCTGGTCCATCTATTCTCATAGACTGGTGTGGACCCTAATTGTAGCTGTTAAGAATTCTATGCAGTTTAAAGCTTTACAAGCTTCTGCACCTTCAGCCACGACTCTGTGAAGCTGATCAAGTTTGCGGACAACACCCTCAGAGGTGGACCGGCAGGTGGAGTGGAAACAACTTGGATCTGAACGATCAGAAGACAGTGGAGATGATTGTGGACTTCAGGAAGACCTCCTCCCCCCATCCCTGATGGACTTCGCCATCACCTTTGTGGAGTCCTTTCAATTCCTGGGTACCACCATCACCCAGGACCTCAGGAGCTGACCATCTGCCCCCTCATCAAGAAGGCCCAGCAGTACTTGCTGCGGCAGCTCAGGAAAGCTAAGCTGCCTGCACATTGGTGCAGTTCCACTCTGCCAACATCGAGTCCTTCCTGACCTCCTCCATCGCCGTGTGGTTCGCTGGAGTCACGCCAGGGAGAAGCACAGACTATAACGCATCGTGTGGTCTGCTAAGAAGGTGAAACCTTCCATCGCTGTAAGACCTGTTAGTTGCCCGAGCTTGAGGGCGAGCTGGTCGTATCACTACTGACCCCTCTAATACTAAATATGGACTATTCCAACCACTCCCCTCAGTCAGCAGGCTGAGGGGAGCCATAACATCAGTTTCTTCCCCACTGCATTTCTAAACTCATGAACATGAATAACATAACTCATCACTGACCCCTGCCCTTTATGACAGCCACCTACAGTCACCTTATAAAAATACTGTCTCTTTAAACTGCACTGTTTAATGTCTATTGTGGGAACTTGTATATAGTAGTAATTTTAATACATTTCATGAAGATTTTTTTATGCATGCCATAGCTTTTTTTTTCTTTCATAACTTTTTGCAGCTTGTAATTTCCTGTTTCCTGTTTCTGATTCTGTTCGCCATATTGTGTTCAGTAAGTTACTTTGAAAAAAAGTTACCCATTACTTAGTGCTTTTTAGGTAACATTTTTAATTTGGTCAAATTTTACTATAACCAATGAAAAACATTGCACAAACCAACAGTCCACATGAGTTTCCACTGCAGAGGGGCTGAGTTCTCCCTAAAGCTGGGCAATCAATGCGATTTGATACAATCTTTAGATGTGCAACATTACAAATATGAGGAAATCCAGGGGGGTGAGTACACTGTTCACGAGACGCACACATTCAGCTGCTCGCACTGTACGAATACTGTTGAGGTCATTTACTATTATTTACTAAGTATGAGACGGCAAATATCAAACTGGTTTTATATCCCTGCAATCGCACAATCATCACTCGTAATTCCAGTATGAAGTACTCCTTGCAGCTCGTAACCCTCTCAGACGCACAGAGTCGGACGCAGAGAGGATACAAACTTTGGTTGCAATCTTAAAATTGTTGTGCTGCAGGAAATTGTAGAGAAATCAGGTCGGAAATTGCAAAGTGTATGCATGATTCATAAATAGGGTGACCAGAGTGTGGCAGATTTAAGAGGCACAAGTTGAAGTGGCGCAGACATCTGTTTTGGACACCTCTTCCGCACCTCTATGTCTTAGCTGGACAGGGAACAGTGTGTGTGGTAAGGAATCCTGGGCATCTCTGCTGAGAGTGCTGCTACTGTGACCCAGCAATGAATAAAGCGGCAGTAAAAAGCAGTCTTAAATGTTACCTATCCAAACCTGGACCAAGTTTGCAAATCCTCTAAGAAGTGCTATGATGTCTATGAATTATATCTTTAAACTCAGGTTCCAGTTTGTCTGTAGTTGCTTGTGATTCTGCCTTTTAAGGGTGAGGAATGCCCCGTGCATGTTGTCATGAAGCAGGGCCAGCTTCTGATGTCTGCAGCCCTCTGTGCATGGTGTGTTTCACCATTTAATTGTGCCTGTGCCATCTGCACAAGCAGGAAACGCCCCCATAAATCTGATGCAGCATATTTCCCCGAGCCACTTTTACTACTCTGAATGTATGTGTATGTATAGCGCCAGGGACAAAAGGATATCTTTTTGTCCCAGGGGCAGGCGGTCACTCATAACGTTTTTGGCTTGCATCTTTCTTCTAACTTTCTTGTCAGAGTTCCTTGTTTAACTGTGATCCAAAATTTCAAGACACATTTTTAACTTGAAAATGTTTTAGCAGGTTTGTACACAGAGAATTAAATGTGTTTATGTTTTTCTGTAGTTTGGAGGTGATGAGAGAAGAGTGGACAGCAGGACTGTTTATGTTGGTAATCGGTCGAGTTCGGACACTGAGGGGTTCATCCCTCCAAAGTTTTGTGACAACAGAATCGTGTCTTCTAAAGTAAGTACCACTACAGCCTGGTATTTCTTGTTGCAGTCCCAAGGAAAAAAAACGAATAGAATGTAATTATAATGTTTCTCAGCTTTTGAGTGACGCTCTAACCCCCCTTACACACTTTTTGCCTCAATTAATTTTTTTAATTCATGTAACTGCTTGAGTGAGTTGAACACTTCTCTGAAGGCAAAAATCTGATCATTCAATAAATGTTTCCGTAAAATAATATTTTATCCATATTTTATTCTACATGTTTATTAAAGGGATTGTATGCAATATGTACTTTTAGTGGTCCAATAAAGTCCTTACAATTGGCAGTAAAATCCAAATCCATGTCCTAACATGTCTGTGACACATGTAGCTCCAAAGCACGGATTACTGATGCAGACCACCGGCTAGAAAGTAGAGACTGTTTCGTGCAAAGTATTTTCACCTTATTTTTGTATCTTCTTTCATTAAATAAGGTCTGGTGCTAGTTTTTAAGAGCCAAAACTAGCTAAACCACTTCATAATTTTATAATACTTTCCCTTTTTTAATATGCAGATATTCATTAGATCAATAAACAGATTACACAATTAATCCAAGGTGGTCTTCAATAATATGCTCGATTATTAAAATCCCTGCAACCTTACGCCATATGCTACTATTTCTACACAGCAATATTGACATTTGTAACAAATGTTTTGACTTTATGATCTGCTTAAGTCATTTTATGTACCAGCCTAAAACTCCTGTACAGAGCTTTCAACTGCTTTGACAGTGTAACTTATGGTTTGTAAAAGATTTACTGAATTCTTTGGTATGAGTTTCTGGGCTCACACTATAAAGCCCTAACCCTCGCCAGCTTTTCCAAACCACTTCAAGTCCTACTTTTCCCTGTTGCCCTTCATACATTCTTCTGATGACAAATAACTGGTCATCCCTTGTTTAAATACAAGGAATGTGCGGTTCATGTGAACATTACTGGTCAAATGTATCCATTTGGGGTGTATTTCTTAAACCAGACGCCAAACTGTGTGTGTGAAGTAAAATGATGTGTGCAAACCCCAAATATACTCTGAGTCTCTTGGCCAATTAATCATAGCAATTCCTCACGGCATGACTTTATTGTGTTCTGATCCCATGTGGTGGTACAAGTTACGCATTCGACATTCGACGGTGCATGTTGCACCCACACAAACAAGTCAAGCCCCATACTAGTCTTTCTCATTACTTTCTCTGCCAAAATGAGATGGGCCGTTCTGCTGCTGTTGCATTTCCCTCTCCCAATGCAGATACCCCTTTTATAAAAGCTGCTTCTTGCACTTTCTGTGTGAAATACAGTGTGTGCGAGTCTGCAATAGTGTAGTGAGAGTACAGTCATTGTGCCTTCTCTGAAGGACTAACTGAAGGTGGACATCAAAGTGATGCTGCAAATACATGTAGTTATGATATTTCATATATAAAGATAGGAGTTTTTTTCCCCATATTATGCAGCCCTAGTTGACATTTGACCATTTATCTGTCATCTTCTAAAGAAAAGACTTTGGAGTTATCTTATATAAAAAATATACTAAAATTATCATTTTGCTTTCACATTTCACACCACTGTGTGATGGTGTTTCACAAACAAATACCTTGTTTGTGGTTGTGATGTGGAAAAAGGCCCGGGTTTGGATACTGTTTCAAACCAATCTGGATATATATTGAATAACATGCTATTATTTTTTATTAATGAGTACTGTGTGACTTTGTGTTCTCTTCCCTTTACAGTATACAGTGTGGAACTTTCTACCAAAGAATCTTTTTGAACAATTTAGAAGAATTGCTAATTTCTACTTTCTTATCATCTTTCTGGTTCAGGTAAGGACTAGAATTGTTTTTCTAAAACAGACACAAAAGGGTGTTAATCCAAAGTATACATGCGTGTTGTTTTTTTAAATTTCTTTTTTATAAACCTTATAAAGTTAGTAGTTTAGTTGGACATGACCATGGTTCTAAATCTTCATACTATACATATATGACGTTGTCGCATCACATATTTGGGTTAGTTCTTTTATATATCTGTAAAGTCATCTATGCTCACAGTTGAAAACTGTTGTTTATGTCTCTGGCTCTCTGTTTGAGTCAGATCAGTAAAAACATCTGTTGCTCATTTTGAAGATATTTTTTGCACCATTGACTTTTCAAAATGTATTGGGAGCTTACCATCTTCAATATATAATATTAGTGTTGATTTAAGTGACACATTTTCATCATAGTTGAGACCTATTCTTGAGCTTGTTTCAGGTTTTTTTTTTCAGTTTTAGCACAGTTAAAGGAAAACTCCTCATGTATCTGTATTACACATGTTTGTTTGCGCTAAAGCCTGTTTGGCCAGAGCTGTTGTGGTTGAGAGAGGTGTTGAACTACACACTTGTTTGATTAGTCTTAAGGATTTGAAGAAGCAGAATTTTTCCACAAATTAAGTTCTAATAATTAATCATTTTGAACCCAAACTATCCATCCATTTTCTTCCGCTTCATCCGTTGCCGGGTCGCGGGGGCAGCAGTCTAAGCAGAGACGCCCAGACTTCCCTATCCACACACACTTCCTCCAGCTCGTCCGGGGGACCCCAAGGCGTTCCCAGGCCAGCTGAGAGACATAGTCCCTCCAGTGTGTCCTGGGTCTTCCCCGGGGCCTCCTCCCGGTGGGACGTGCCCGGAACACATTTGGAACTGCTCATTCCCAAATAACTATAATACGTTCTTTATGTCCCTCGCTCATTGCTTCCACCTGCTGTATCTTCTCCATCACTGTTTGACACATCATTGTTCATATATAGAAATCCTAACAGCCCCCTTGTGTAAACAGGTGCCATTTCAGTAATTCAGAGTTTTCTTCTCAGTGTAAAACACAAAATACTTTTTATGTAGATTACATTGATGTGCTCTAACGTTGTTGTGTGTTAACAATCTGAATTAAGTGTTAGTCTTATTTTAACCGTTTCCTGACAAACTTGTATAGTGTGTGTGTGTATGTATGTGTATATATATATATATGTATGTGTATATATATATATGTATGTGTATATATATATATGTATGTGTATATATATATATGTATGTGTATATATATATATGTATGTATATATATATATATATATATATATATTATATAAACAGTGGGGCAAAAAGTATTTAGTCAGCCACCGATTGTGCAAGTTCTCCCACTTAAAATAATGACAGAGGTCTGTAATTTTCATCATAGGAACACTTCAACTGTGAGAGACAGAATGTGAAAAAAAAATCCAGGAATTCACATTATAGGATTTTTAAAGAATTTATTTGTAAATTATGGTGGAAAATAAGTATTTGGTCACTTCAAACAAGGAGGATCTCTGGCTCTCACAGACCTGTAACTTCTTCTTTAAGAAGCTCTTCTGTCCTCTACTCGTTACCTGTATTAATGGCACCTGTTTGAACTCGTTATCTGTATAAAAGACACATGTCCACAGCCTCAAACAGTCAGACTCCAAACTCCACTATGGCCAAGACCAAAGAGCTGTCAAAGGACACCAGGAAAATAATTGTAGACCTGCACCAGACTGGGAAGAGTGAATCTACAATAGGCAAGCAGCTTGGTGTGAACAAATACACTGTGGGAGCAATTATCAGAAAATGGAAGACATACAAGACCAATGATAATCTCCCTCGATCTGGGGTTCCACGCAAGATCTCATCCCGTGGGGTCAAAGTGATCCTTAGAACGGTAATCAAAAATCCCAGAACCACACGGGGGGACCTGGTGAATGACCTGCAGAGAGCTGGGACCAAAGTAACAAAGGTTACCATCAGTAACACACTACGACGACAGAGAATCAAATCCTGCAGTGCCAGACGTGTCCCCCTGCTGAAGCCAGTGCATGTCCAGGCCCGTCTGAAGTTTGCCAGAGAGCACATGGATGATACAGCAGAGGATTGGGAGAATGTCATGTGGTCAGATGAAACCAAAGTAGAACTGTTTGGTATAAACTCAACTTGTCGTGTTTGGAGGAAGAAGAATACTGAGTTGCATCCCAAGAACACCATACCTACTGTGAAGCAAGGGGGTGGAAACATCATGCTTTGGGGCTGTTTTTCTGCTAAGGGGACTGGACGACTGATCCGTGTTAAGGAAAGAATGAATGGGGCCATGTATCGTGAGATTTTGAGCCAAAACCTCCTTCCATCTGTGAGAGCTTTGAAGATGAAACATGGCTGGGTCTTCCAGCATGACAATGATCCCAAACACACCGCCCGGGCAACGAAGGAGTGTTTGAAGTGTATGAAGCATTTGAAAGTCCTGGAGTGGCCTAGCCAGTCTCCAGACCTCAACCCCATTGAAAATCTGTGGGGGGAGTTGATAGTCCGTGTTCACTGCTCTCAAGTATATCTGTATATATATATATATATATATATACACACAGAGACACAGAGACACAGACACACACACACACTGAAGTGTCCTGATCTAAATGCTTATATTTCTGTAGAAAATATAAATTTCCTTCCTTGATGCGTTTGAATATCTTCTAACAAATTAGAAAAGGCCCCAAACTCCTAAGAGCTCTCTATGCTAATTCTCAACCATTCAGGTAAATGTCACGTATTCTTCTGTTGGCTTTTGTCATACTGTCTATTTTCCATCCTTTTCTTTCTGCTCCTCTCACACATGCCCCCCCCCATCTCTCTACAGCATCAGCTCTTGCTTACGTCAGCAGCCAGGAAGCCCTCTTGTTCTTTGGTGTGCCGCAAATAGACACCGCAGATAAAAAAGAACCACTCAGTCCTAAAAATAGCCCTGTGTATCTTTGCTTGAATTTATCCAAAAGGGAATAGTACAAGAGTTGGAATGAGAGGCAGTCGTGATGAGGCTAAATGGGGAAAGAGAAGGGGGGGTGCTCATCAGGGAGGATGTGCTGGCTCCAGGGGGACTCCTGGGATGTGCTGTCTGACGCTCCGTGGCACACTTCAGGACTGCTCAAGTTCAGTGTGTGATGCTGGAATTTAATGTTATGCCCTTTTGGATAGAGAGTAAATATTTCCACCTGGACACTTCATGAGAAAGTTAGGGTTATTTTGCTTTCAGGTTAGATAACTAAAAAAGTGCACACAACTGTATTAGGTCGTAAAAGTAGGGTATTTAAGACGAAACATGCAATGGCAATTTTCCAATCGCCAGACACAAAAAATAGAAAGAAAATCAAACGACAGAGAAAACTGATAGTAGAGTTGTTGGATTTCTAACTTGTCCTTAGGCATCAATTATAGCTCGACGACACAAGTCTTCTTACTGTCAACTGTGGATGATCGCGCCACTCTTTCTGGGGCATGAGGTTGTGATGTATCTCAGTTGGACTTTTTTGACTTTCTTCAGAGAACAGGCTTGAGGCCCACTGCTTCCACGCCCATATAGAACAATGTTACTGTACTTACAGTATAGTGGTGTGGTCTAGCACCCAAACTGTACTGCTTTAAGTTAGATGTGGTCAGAGGACGTCCTCTACTAGGTCTTTCTGTGGCTCTTCCAGTCTCCTCATCTCTGTGGGAGCCTGCTGATGATATATTGACAATTTAAGGGGCCCTTTCAGTTTGAGAACTCGCATAGGTACTCATTATGAACTGTTGTTTTTTGTTTCATGACGGAGCACGGCGAAGAGGACTGTTTAAAGATGAATTATAATCGAATCAAGAGATCTATTGGTCAATCTTATTTTAAAATATACTTGTTAGAAAACAGCAAAAAGTTCAGTAATGAAACATAAGCCATCTTGCCTCTCCAGTAGATAAGGACAGTTAGGATTTGGAATTTATTGGCTTACAAACATTCCATGGTGGCTGGTCATGAACGCATGGTCTGCCTTGATGGGAGTCATTGTGGTAAAAGACTGTCCCCTGGCCTTACCTGGGCTTTGATTCGAGCTGAACACCTGTTCCCTGCCATCAGGGAGGGAACAAGGCTGCTGTGCCCAAACTGCCCACCAGATATCCATTATGAGACTGACCACACATTAAGTAAGAAGGAATAACCCACACTACTGGTAATTTACACTATGTGCAATACATTTACTGGCACATTTTTGATGGATTTAAAAAATCTTTTCGGATTATTGTCAGCAGGATAATCCCAAACCACTTGCTGAAGCACAATTGATTATAATTGCAGTGTTTCCTTTTTGTGCTAGTTAACAGAACCTTTTTTTGTCCCACAGAAGGGAAATGTCAATATCTAATTTTTATTTACATCTTTGAGTATAATACGGCTACAGGATTTCTTTCCACAATGTTCGTAAAAACGGTCTCCTAGCGATATAGTATAACCACTGGGCTTTGTAGCATCTCCATGTCCGATGAGGATATGCCATCACCCAGATTACAGGTCTCTAGTGTCCAGGCTACACTGAGCTCTCGCAAGAGGAATGTCTTAATCCAGCATCTCTAAAGCCTCAGGCTGGGCTCCCACTTCAGACCTGTCTTTATGTTTACCCACTCCTTATACAAATATCCTTAAAAACCGTTTGGATGTTCTTAGATGATGCATACCTGTAGAAATGCATGTCTGCGGCTGTGTATGGCTGGTAATATTGCTAGTATTTGTGAGGAATAGATCGTCTGCAGTCTGTTTTGAAGCATTCTCTGGAGTTTTCCTCACCTGTGCTCACACAGCGTGCTGAAGAGTATCTGACAGTGTGTAATGTTCCTGGTCAGAATACTAACGACTGGAGTGTCAGCACTAAAGCACAGACCGACTAAAGTGGAGGCTATGCTTCATGCTGCAGGATCACAAATACCAAAGTAAATCCATCTTATGCTGGTGTAGAGGTTCTTACTCACACAGGACCATTTGTTTACAGGAGGTTTAGCTTTGCCTGAACAGTCACATGCCTTGCATTAGTTTCCATACTGACAACTATTCTTGCTTTTTTATAGGTGATAGTGGACACACCCACCAGCCCAGTCACCAGTGGCCTACCTTTATTTTTTGTCATAACAGTTACTGCTATAAAGCAGGTGAGATGTTTGTATTGATTTAATTTGTTCTGTTATGATTTCATTCTACTATACACAAATCTTTCTTTACCATCACTGCAAAACCTTGAGCTATGTTTTAAATGTCTGGATCTAATATGAAAGGATTTCACATCACAAAAGTGAAAATGGGTATTTAGATAACACAAAAAATGTACCAAGGGTTCACAACAAAAGTGATGGTAATAGGGCTGGACATTTGAATATGATATAATGATTGAATACTTTTTTTGCAAATATTTCTTTAGGGCTATGAAGACTGGCTGCGCCACAAGGCTGATAATGAAGTTAATAAATACCTTGTAACTGTGCTAGAAGATGGTCAAAGAATAAGAAAAGAGAGTGAAAAGATCAAGGTATGATCCTGGCATTAGTTTTTGTATACTGGTGTTTACTAAAATCGAACCCCTCGCTCAGACTGCACTCGGAGCAGCTGCAGTGCAGAGGCCACATATTAAGGTAGATCCTTGGAACTCGACCTTCTCACTGTTCCTCCTGTAACTAAAAGTCGAGGAAACTCCTATGAATTGTCTCCAAAATGACATAAATGTGCAAATTTTTTTCTGGATAGGGCCTTCGATGTGTTTTTACTGGTTAAATATCATATTGTTGTCCATTTTGTTGGTCACAAAATAGCTCCATTTCTATATTCTTTTTGAAATGTGCTATTATAAATGTACATGTTTCCTTACAGTGCTTTTGTTATAAAGACTTAAAGTATGCATGCATTATCATTTCCACTACACTAGGTCACCTATAACATGATATATATGCTGAAAGGTAAACATAATATTTTCTGTTTTACAGGTGGGGGATGTTGTAGAGGTGGAGGAAAACGAGACCTTTCCCTGTGATCTAATACTGCTGCAATCCAGTCGTGATGATGAGACATGCTTTGTTACTACTGCGAGTCTAGATGGAGAGTCCAATCATAAAGTAAGATAGTCAAAACTGAGGTAATTTTAAAGTTTAAAGATCTGAAATTAAATATTTGTAAAGGCACTCTGGTCTGAACAAAGATCATGCTACAGATTCTGTTTTTGGGTGAAAGTTCTTATCACAACAAACCATAGTTTTGTTTTCTTTAATATTTATCTTTTCAACTGTAAAGTGTTGAAACCTTGTTTGTGGTTTTCAGACACACTACACAGTGCCAGACGCAGTGAAGGATCTGGAATCTCTCTGCGCCACCATCGAGTGTGAACAGCCTCAGCCTGACCTTTACAAGTATGTGTTGTCACATGTCCACAACGACGGCTTGTCAACTTGTTGTGTGGAGTCAACTATGCATTTGATTTGCCACCGTATAATATAAAATTCTAGGATACGTACTGTACATACGTACTGGTGTCTGTCTACTGGTCAGACACCATGAGCCACAATCTTTCACTGTCATCCCATATATACAGTGGCACAGCGTGTGCTCCAGGGCTCAGACCACCGTATGCTCCTCTTATTGATTTGTCTTGTTTGATGAATGAATGAATGAATGATTTGTAAAGATCACATAACAAACCACATTTTAACTAACTGATGATATCTGATCGTTTTTATCCTGCTGTGCTAACATTTTTTCCATTTTTATACGTGCACAAACTCCTTTTCCTTACGCAGAAAACAGATTTCTGAGCAGACACTGACAAATATAACAGATTAATGAGAAAAAGACACTACTCATGCATGTTTTTAGCTAGTTTCAAGCCACACAATGTTCTTTTTTTGGTGGTCATTGGCCTGAACAATGGAAAGTAAAGTAAGATCAGTTGCAGTTCAGTTAAACCTGTTGTGAAATTGTTTTTTAAAAATACTCCACTGATGTCGGTAATTTATTATTTTATAAAACCTGGTGACAGTGGGCTGCATTCTGTCTGGTTAAGAACCGCAGGTGCACCACACTTGATGTACCATGATTGTTATTGACTATTTACGTATTGTAGATAGAGATGGGCAATATTTAATTGTTGATATTGCAATAGTTATTTTGAAGGTATGTCAAGTTTAAGTATAGTGTACGAGTGAGCAGAAAGATGTCGTCACTTACTTTAAATACCAGCGACTCATTGGCATTGTTTACAAAGCACTAGTCAAAACCAGATTTTTGAAAACCATGTTACAAACCAGTCCGGTTGGTAACTGGATCGAACCGTAAAAACATAAACTAGATACTATTGAGACAAGACTGGCAGCTGCAATCTAAAGCACGGAGAGAAACTATGTTTATATCGGAAATACAGACTAGTTCCTCATTGTTGTCATTCCAATGTGGCATGCAGCCTATCAAGGAAAGTTGACAGCAATTTAAAAAACTAAAACAACAATTTTTGTTCCTCCCTTGAACAGCCCTCGGTCATTTAGACCAAGGCCGTGTTCTTTTGTTTTGTAAACTCAGTCACTGTTCAGGTAAAACAAATTATTTAAGATCTGACTCAAAGTTTGAGTCATTACTACTACTCAAAGTATGTTCATAGAAAGAGGTATTTTTTTATTTTAGCACACTTAATAGCAAAAGTAGCTCATGATTTAAATTCAATATTTGTATGGTTTAATGGTGATTTTTGTTGATGTTTTTGTGAATGTAGATCTGTTTTGTTACAGATTTGTTGGCCGCATGCATATTTATAAGAACGATCAGGAGACTTTAGTAAGGTGAGACTCAAATCTCCAGTTCAAAGCACATTCATAATATATTAAATACTCGCTTGTTTTCTGTTTACATCCTCAAATCATTATTTCATTGATCCGTCAAAGCATACAAGCATTAAAATTAAAACTGACTTCAGCCAAAGTCTCTGAAGCCCTCCCATGGGCATTTTTTATTGACAATCTTGTAATTGCGGCACAAAAAGGCCATCTTCCTTATAAAGAACTCCTAGTATGGTATAATCACAAGTGGCATCATTCTGTCACAGCAGCTCTGGACTGGACTGCCATCAGTGTATGGGGACTCGTTGAGAACCCAGTTATTATCAATCTACAATAGAAAACTGGCCAGGGTATTGCTTTAGCCTAGCTGTACATGCTCAGAGGCCACACGCAGCACTGCAACTCAAATTCCCACGGAATTTTGTGGGTGCTTTTGTCATCTTTGTGATCATTGTGAACTTTTGTTCGATTCACAAAAGTCTACACTTTTGTGACTCGAACTCACCCTGCTCCATAGAATGTATATTTGAAGTGTGACAGAATGAGTTGAGGATGAGTGGAGACAGTATCTTCCAATGATAAAAATGTTTGGCAAACATTATTTAAATATTGGAAGATTACATTGTCTCGCTGCTGATTTGATCAGCTAACGAATAAATTGGTCAGAAAAGCACAGCATTGAGGAAGCGTATACCTCTTCCACCACATGTACAACTGCATTGTTTATAACGTGTGCTGTTATGGTTGTGTAGGTCGCTGGGTCCAGAAAATCTACTGTTGAAAGGTGCCACTTTAAAGAATACTCAGAAAATCTGTGGTAAGTATAACAGCTTTGATGGTGTCAGACTGCATGAAATACTGTAATTGTTTAAAATGCATTTAAGACAATTTCATCAAACATTCTCAAAGCTCAGACCGAAACAAACATGTTCTGAAATGTTGCTCTAGGATAAGTTTGACAGTAAATTTTTCTAATTTTTACCCTCATAATATGGACCCATAATGCCTTTCCTGTTGGCCTCTCAGGACTACATACATATGTTGCCAAAATCATGCAGGCAGCCCTGTTTTGTACAGTTCACTTACTGTGTAAATTCCCTGAAGGTGTAGCAGTTTACACAGGCATGGAAACAAAAATGGCTCTCAACTATCAAGGAAAGTCTCAAAAGCGTTCTGTTGTGGAAAAGTAAGTCTAATGAAATATTACATGTGTACAGACTTATTATGCAAGTTTACTATTTGAGGAGAAAATCATTTTAACAATAGGCAGTTGATTCATCCATTCAAATGAGACTCCAGACTGACTGCTAAATCTGGTACTGCTCCTCTTATGTCATTAAAAGGAGAGCCTTTTATAATGCACAGACAAATATGTCTAAGTTTCACATTATATCAAAAAATATATATGTGCAGAAACTTTCCTAATCAGCTCATCTGAGAGAATCCGGAGCTCTCCAGGGCCTCCTCCCATCACAAAATACTCTTGCATATTGAGCCTTCACACATCGAAATGCTTTTTTAACCATTGTAACAAAATAAATTAATTGTGATTTACATTACTGTCAGGTCCATCAATGCCTTCCTTTTGGTTTACCTCTTTATATTGGTGAGCAAGGCTCTTCTTTGCACCATACTCAAATATGTGTCGCAGAGCAAGCATGGACAGGATGAGCCCTGGTATAATGAGAAAACCAAAAAAGAAAAGGATACCAATCTGGTGAGCTCTTCATCCATCTAAATAATAACTGATCACATTTGATTATTTGTTCTTCTTGTCTATTACTTCTTTGTCTCTTTGTATTTGAATTTTGAACCCTAACTTTCTGTAATTTATCTTTTCTGCAGTACCTAAAAATGTTCACGGACTTCCTGTCCTTCATGGTGCTCTTCAACTTCATTATCCCAGTGTCCATGTATGTGACAGTGGAGATGCAGAAATTCCTTGGATCTTTTTTCATAACATGGGACAGAGATTTCTTTGACAATGAAATAAAAGAAGGAGCACTGGTTAATACGTCAGATCTCAATGAGGAGCTTGGGCAGGTAACGTATGTTTCACTGTGTTGGTATTGTAAAACATGTTGCTATGTATGCTATTTTCTTTATAGTGCTGGAGACATTATTGTGTGGAAAGCTCTCATTGAATAATTGAATTTGTCCATACTTGGTTCATAAGATATTTGCTGACGGGTTCATTTGAATGTCCTACATACAGGTGGAGTATGTCTTCACAGACAAGACTGGTACCCTTACCCAGAACAACATGGAGTTCATAGAGTGCTGCATTGATGGATTCCAGTACAAGCATCGAGACGCCAGTACAGAGCTGGACGGCTTCTGTGTCACAGACGGACCTGTGAGCAAACTGCAGCAGAAGGCTGGCAGGGTGAGTGCTGTGGTGAGCTCCTTCTGTTGAACAAGAAAAACAAGCTCCAACATAGTCAGTGCTCAGAGGACACTCACCAGTCACTCATGTGCACATAGTGTGAAGAGGTGCTCTGGACATGAACACTTGTTAATACAGATCCTTTAGTCTCAAATACTCACGATTGGCAAATTACAATTATTTTTTAAAATATAATATTAGTATTTACTTTATTTACGTTTAGTTGCAGTTTTAGTTGTAGGAGGCAACAAGCTTGGATTAAAAACTAATCAACACCTGCTTGTATCTTAGGAAAAAGAAGAGTTGTTTCTGCGTGCACTGTGCCTGTGTCACACGGTTCAGGTCAAAGAGTCGACAGAACAGTGTCTTAATCTGGTGGACGGTTTGGGAATAGATAGAGAGATGCCACAGACACAGGAGCAGGGAGGCTTTATCGCCTCCTCTCCTGATGAGATTGCTCTGGTGAAGGGGGCCATGAGGTATATCACATTTCTTTATGTTGCAATTTAGTATCATGTTTATGGAAACTGTTTGAAAATGATTGATATTTGCAGATATGGCTTCACGTTTCTGGGACTTGAGAGCAAAACAATGAAAATACTGAATAGAAAGAATGATGTAGAAAGGTAAGACATAAAATATTTAAGATCATCCATAATGTTCTCAACAATTTACCTTTGCTACCCTGAAGGTATGAACTTCTTCATGTATTGAATTTTGATCCTGTGAGAAGACGGATGAGTGTAATAGTCAGATCATCTTCAGGTTAGCATCTGTCATCATTTATGTCATCATCTATGACTGGCTGCACCTTATTGAGTGGTTATTGTTCCTGTGTTTACGCTTAGGGGACACACTACTTTTCTGCAAAGGGGCAGACTCTTCCATTTTTCCTCGTGTCAGACAAGAAGAAGTCGAGAGGATACGTCTGCATGTGGAGCGCAATGCAACAGTGAGTACCAGTTATCTCATTTCACTTTGCCGTGGGCGGCATGCTGGTGGAGTGGATAGCACTCTTGCCTCTCAGTGGGCTGAGAGGCCTTTCTGAGTGGAGTTTGCATGTTCTCCCAGTGTCTGCGTAGGTTTCCTCCGGTTACTCTGGTTTCCCCTACCACTAAAAACATGTACAATAGTTCTGGCATGCGCCTCCTGTACTGGCGACCCCGCTCCCATCTTGGTGTGGAGTGAGAGGACAAATGCCCAAAAAATAACTATTGTAAACCGCTTTGTGACCCTGGTCTGTGAAAGGCGGTATATAAATAAAGATTACTTACTTACTTACTTTAAGTTAAAGTTTCAATACAAACACATTTTGTTTGATAATCCTGATTTCTCTGCAGGAGGGGTACCGTACCCTTTGTGTGGCCTACAAGCTGCTGAGTGCAGGGGAGTTTGAACAGGCAGATGCCGGGCTCCGAGAAGCCAGGCTTGCTCTCCAGGACAGAGAGGAGAAGCTCATGGCTGTGTACAATCAGGTGGAGACTGGGATGAGTCTCATAGGAGCCACTGCTGTTGAAGATCGGTGAGAGACATTGTTACCTACAGAGGCTTGATAAAGTATTTTTACACCATGGACTTTCCAATTTGTTTTTATTGCAAAGGGGCAGACAAATATGTGAAAGTGAAACTATTCAATTCATATTTCACACGTAATGTTGAACCTGTGAAAGTTCATGAATACTTTTCAAGGCACTGTAGATCAAAGTAGCTTCAAAACTCATTTGAGCTTTTGTAGTGACTTTCAAATGCACTTCATTTTACAGGCTGCAAGAGGAAGCCGCAGAAACAATGGAAGCACTGCAGGGTGCAGGCATGAAAGTTTGGGTTCTAACTGGAGACAAAATGGAGACTGCTAAGTCGACCTGTTACGCATGCCGCCTGTTTCAGAAAAACACAGAACTCTTAGAGCTGACAGTGCGAACACTAGATGATGAGGTCAGAAGACGTGAGGAGAAACTTCATGACCTGCTGCTGGAATATCATAAAAAGGCTGTCCAAGATGCACCACCTGTCAAAGCAGGCATCACCAGGTCTGGACTAAATGTTTTGAGTACTATCATTTTTAAAATTAATTACTATTGAATGTATTTTTCCTTTTTATTTATAGGAGCTGGTCTTCTGCTAGTCAAGACTATGGCTTTATTATTGATGGGGCATCTTTGTCAATGATTTTGAACTCTTCCCCGGACTCCAGCAATAATCGCTATAAGTATCTGTTGTTGCAGATTTGTCAAAACTGCACTTCTGTGCTTTGTTGCCGTATGGCTCCTCTACAGAAAGCACAGGTGATGACCGAAAAATAGGCGTGTTACCTAAAATAGTATTTTAAAGTTATATTCTTATTTGTCTAAATAAAGATTGTGAAAATGGTGAAAAACTCCAAGGGCAGTCCTATTACGCTCTCTATTGGTGACGGTGCAAATGATGTCAGCATGATTCTGGAAGCCCATGTTGGCATTGGTGAGTTGTAGAATGTGAGGTTTCACCAGTGTCATGGGCGCCACTTTATTGATCACCAATATTTCTCTTTCAGGTATTAAGGGGAAAGAGGGTCGCCAGGCTGTGAGAAACAGTGATTATGCCATTCCAAAATTAAAGCACCTCAAAAAGCTGCTTCTCGCTCATGGTCATCTTTACTATGTTCGCATCGCGCATTTGGTGCAATACTTTTTTTACAAGGTTTGTTTTGTGATTCTAGTTATTGTTTAAGTAAATGTTGGTTGTGTAATCTTAAAAAATCTTAAATTTTCTGCAGAACCTGTGTTTCATCCTACCCCAGTTTTTGTATCAGATTTTTTGTGGATATTCGCAGCAGGTGAGTTTAAGTTTGACATTAATCAACCCAATGTTTGAGGGAAGCATCCAGGGTTGGGAGTAACCTATGAACGTACATTATTTATTACTAGTTACAATCAACGTAACTTAATTTGACTGCATTTCTGACTTGTTCCCCACAATTCCTTTCCTACATTTTTTATAATAAAATTTAACTCTGTGTGAGACCAGTTGTGCTTTTGTACCTTGAAACCAAGTAGACATTTGAAAGTTCACTTAAGCCGATCACTATCAATGTCCCTCGAATACTATCCATATCACAGTATTTTTGACAAAAATTAACTCTGAGAAAGTAAGTATTTTTGTAACACAAATATATAACATTAAGCACATTCTTGCTCTTTCCCCCTCTCTGCGGCTCTGCTCCGGTCAGCCCTTGTATGATGCAGCCTATCTCACAATGTACAACATATGCTTCACTTCGATGCCCATCCTGGCCTACAGCCTGTTGGAGCAGCACACCTGCATCGAGGTTCTGTTGGACAATGCTACCCTCTACAGGTAAAAGATAGGAACTACCACCAACTGTTGGTCGGACTATGAGGGCATACATCTCATCCTTTTAATTTTTTTCAGAGAGATTGCCAAAAATGCCATGTTGCGTTGGAGGCTTTTTCTATATTGGACAGTCCTGGGTCTGTTTCATGGGCTTCTCTTCTTCTTTGGTGTATGGTATTTGTTTCAAAACCCAGCGCTGCAGGATAATGGCCAGGTGTGTATCCTCATTCTTGTAATCTCTAGATTTTGTTTCTGGACACTGTTGAAATGATGCATGCCTCTCTTCCATGCACAGGTCTTTGGAAACTGGTCTTATGGGACTATTGTGTTCACTGTGCTTGTTTTTACTGTGACACTAAAGGTAATCTGTGATATCAACTCAGCTTTTGAATATTGTTAAAATAAATTGCACATTATATATTTATTTTTACCTTTTTTTTTCCTTCATAGCTTGCATTGGACACCCGACATTGGACATGGATCAATCACTTTGTCATTTGGGGATCTTTGGCTTTCTACATGTTTTTCAGTTTTTTCTGGGGAGGGATTATATGGTCTGAGCATAAGCAAAATATTATAAGTAAAGTTTTTCCACTTAATCTAAAGGTGTTGTCTTGTTCGTAGGCCTTTCCTAAGGCAGCAGCGCCTGTACTTTGTCTTTGCAAACATGCTCAGTTCAGTGTCTGCCTGGCTGGTCATCATCCTGCTCATTCTGCTCAGCCTCCTGCCTGAGATCCTGCTGGTGGTGTTCCGAAGGCCCCGCGGACCCCGCTCACGACAGGTACAGCTCCGCCTAAACATAAACTCTTATCAACATGTCTCTGGGACAATTCAATGGGATGACACTAGTAATGGTATATATGAGTCAAATATGTCAAATCCACCAAATTTTTACAATGTGTCACTCCCTCTAGGACTTCGCCTTATTGCTATGACAACTAATACGTCAGGGAAGCATTTATGAACGCCCACTATTTTATTAACAATAAGCTATTTAAAATTCCCGGAAAATCCTGAAGAGACTTTCAATGTGATAAATACCAGTGTAGTAATTGCATTTACTTAAGGTACATTATATGATATCAGACTCTTGAGATGTTTAAAGTTATGACTTTGATTGGAGACACCTCTCTACTGACCTGTAACCATCACCTCTATACAGAAAGAGTTTGATGAGATACTGTGAATCATTCAAAGCAAAAATTTGTTTGCATAATTACAAGACAATGCAACTACCCATTAACATGTTCTCAACATACAAAAAGGTTACAATTGGTAATACGTGGGTTAAATTGAGCCAAATGCCTGGGCATTCGGAATATATGTTTTAACTTTATACCTACTGCAAGGTATAATGTTTAAATTATATATACATATATTACATTTCAGATAAGTTAAATATGTATGCCATATAACATATGATTAAAGTACCTCATAGTCATCCTAATGATTACTTAAGGTCAGTTACGGTACTTCTTTTTAACCAAATGATTATTAGGTACTCTCTTAGGTAGCCTCTTCATCTTTCTTTTCTCTGTCCCAATGTTCTATTTCCTGTTTCTGTTTTGAATCTGCTGGCCCAAAGATGACACAGCGCCTCCCTTCCTCGGGGACGTCTACTATCTTCATGTTGTCGCAGACCGCTAGCTCTCACAGCTTCTCATGGACAGACTGAGGTCTCTTATTTCTTGCTGCGTCAGCACAGTCTCTGCTTGTTTCCTACTTGTTGTCGTCTCCCACTGTTACCGTTCACTTCCCTATCCTCAAACACTACTCCTCTGCAATTCACTAAAAAACAAATGTGGTGAGGTTACCAAAAATTAGTTACTTTCTTGAAACTCTGATCAGTGTTAAGTGTACCATGAGCTTACGGTGAGGAACTGGAAAATATGTTTTTAATTTTACTTAAAGTTCTCAGTTTTAAGTGTATAAGACCATGTGCTATGCAGTTGCCAGAATGCTCTTGTGCCTGTTCCCTCGGCATGCCCTGTAAATGAATGCAGCACCTCCAAGCACCAAAAGCCCCTGCATGAGGCTCAAGACAGCTTCTTCCTGGGGACTCCCACAAAACTTCCAGGACCAGCTTTTGATGTTTGTTATGAGTGATATATGATATATTGAGACATTTTCCTCTTATTGTGACAAGCTGCTGTGGTTATTTTGCAGAAAGTGTCTTCATCAAACCTTCCCAGCTGTGTCTTGTCTGTGTACATACACGTGTCCCTGTGTTCCATGTTCCTGGTAGTGTGTCATCAGTGTAGTGTGTCATCAGTGTCTTTGCCCTTCTAGAAAGCAGTGGTTGATTCGAGTGTGGGGGGGCTGCCGTCTCCCCGGTCCTCGGCCCGGCCCCTGCTCATGAGAACCTTTTCAGATGAGTCGAGTACTGTCACTTAACCAGGTATCAGCCCATATTTGACATGGGACATCTGCAAGTGTGCTCCAAAGTTTAATCTAACCCAATTAAATCGGTATAAACAAACTCTATTGAGATAACCTTCACTATGCGTTCTGTATTCCTGGTGTATATACATATACAAGTTGGCTGGCTGAAGAGATGCTGGTTCTTCATGGCACTTTTTACATTCATTATCAATTGGACCACTTGCATGCTATTGCAATGCATCTAGTTAGCAGTCGGTACTAAAATCCACTTGCTCCTTTTCAGCCTCCCTTCTTTCGCCTGTAATACTTGCTGCATGTGCTTTTATAACCCCCCATATATTATATAAATGTTTACAAATGTATATAAAAATGTCTATAAACGGTTTGTATTAGTGGAGTGGTTGGGGGCTTGGTCTGTCGCCTGTGATGGTGTTGTGTGTGTCACGCTGTACATACGTTGAAACGCTTGTGTTCTTGTATTCTTGACAAGTAACTGCACTTCAGACACAAGTTCACTGCATGATTGGACATACGAGATGTGGATATTCCATACCAGGGGTTGACAGATGCTGAAAAGTGATCATTATAATGTTACATTTTGATCACAAAGGTCATCTTTTAGTTAACTAAATGTATAACAAATGTATTTAATCCGAAAATAGTGCACTCTTCTGTGGGATGATTAATGATGATTATATATATATATATATATATATATATATATATAATTGCATTCAATGAAAAGATGTTTTAAATTGAAATAATTTGATCCAGCTTGTTCAACCCTGTTGGCATGTCCACATTTCTGCAGGAGGATTCGTATAACTGATGAAGTTCAACGTGATCCTAATAGCCTTTTGTTTTTAACCTGCATTTGTATTTCTCTCTGTAGCCTTCAGAAAGTGACCCCCTTCAAACACCCAGGTAACAGACAAATCATGGGTTGATGGTTCAATCCTCATGCTGACCTTTGTTCACCGCTGTGCCTTTGGGAAACCCTCTTCGCCCACTCTGTATGAATGTGGTGTGTGGTGGCGGTCTTCGAATAATAAGGAATGCAACATTTGTGTCCAAAAACCTTATTCTTACTAAATGGCGTCTGCTCACTGCTGTTCCTCTGCTCACAAAGGGTGATTTTCACTAATGACTGCATTTGTCTGATGAAGGGGTAGTTTCTACATGGTGCATTTGAGTGATTACAGCCGGTTGATTCTTGATTCTGGGTCGGGCTCTTCTGTCTTCCTGCAGGCGACTAATGTTTCTTTTTTTCCCCAGATTGCACCCGTCACACCACTCTCCTACAAGTGTTTGAGGGAAGGCGAGTGATGGCTCGTCAGGAAAAGCAGCAGCAGCAGCTTCTAGAAGTACTCGTCCCGTTGAAAGGAGAAGTCCCTGCTCAAAAACACGGGTCAAAACCCGATCAAGTGAAAGATGAAAACTGCAGCAGAAGTTATTTTCACCGCTTCCTGTTGCATTAGATTTTTTCCGTCCGATTTTTTTGTAAAGCATGCCCTGGACTTTTAAAAGGTTATGATACTGGGCATGACATTTTTTAAATTATATTTATTTGTATTCAAGCAACAATCTGAATGCAAACACATCTGCCTTGATTCTGATTAACTGCTATAAGTTGTCAAGCGGTTGTGAAATCTAGGTTTGGATGCATGACTGATGGCCTAAAAGAACGCTACACCTCACTAATGCTCAGGCACCACTTTTAATTTTTATTATCACTTCCAATCATGGCTTATTTTTTATAAATTTACATCAAAGACATTGTGCAAGGTGACATGTTACTGTGTAGCAGTAACACCACAACTTTACAAAAACCTTTAAGTCACTGTTGACATGTCATGGATGTGGTTACATTTGCCTTATCTAAAATGATTTGTTTTATTGCAGGTATATTGTTTGAGGCTTTCTTCATTCTCAGAGGATCTAACAAAAGAAAATTTATATATGTGCCATATAACATATATTTATTTATACAATGTATTTTTAATTTAATAAGCTTAAGGCCAAAAACATTATATTCAGGCACCAATGCCGAAGCTGTCATCTTCAGTGTGTGCTATTTTTCGTTGCTAGAAATACATTATGAAACGTAACTTTAAGCCTTAAATGGTTTCTGCACTATTCATGGAGAATGTGACTTTCCACATCACTCGTGCCGTTGCCTTGAGCTCACAAATGTTAACAAATGCACAGTGCACTAAGGTCAAATGTCTTATTGTTTTCTTCACGTTGTGCATTGTGACAGAGTTCAGGTGGCCGTCTGCTGTAGTTGAAGCCACTGTGAGCCTGGAGTGTCCTATTATGTGTACTGCTTTAAACATTCCATTTAGTTTCAAGCATTATTTAAATGTGTTATAATCTTGCTCTCTGTATTCACATTGCTTTGTACCAGTTCACTTGTTCATTATAGTTTGGGTTTGTGTCATTAGATTGACATTAGTCCTTTTTAAAGCGCATGCACTCTATCAGACCCCATTCTCACAATCTGTGCAGTGGGCCTGCCGTCAGAGCACGTAGGACACACGATGTGACCCAGATCAGTGACTTTATTTATGCTTATTCAGAGCGCACTGTGCAGAGGATAAGGCCTGCCTGCTTTTTAATATTGACAAACCTTTATGAGAAATTTGAGATGCTATTTTTAAGTGCTTGTCAAAATGTAAAGAAAAGAAATAAGAATGGTATGTATTTTTAATGCTACTTTTCCAGACACATTTTCCATAAAATGAAAATGTAAAAAAAAAAAGCAGTGGAGCTCTGTGCTGTGGGTTGATGGTTGTGCTGCTGCACCTGAGCTTGAATGACACACTCCAAATATCTGAACTGAATGTACCTCCACTGAAACTTTTGACTGGTTTCTATAATAAAAATCAATACATTTGGAAAGTTGTGCATGTGCTGTTGCTTTATCAAACCAACAGTTTCAAAAAGATGTTTTCTTGTGTGTTCAAATGGCTCTCAGCAGATGCTGTGCAGTAATGAGGGTTAAGAGGCTAAGCTGGATCAGCTGAGTGGCTGCTGCTGTATGTGTGGCCAAAGTAAAGGGAATGTATGTAATCTGTCCGCACACTTTGACAAATACATCTTTTTATATCCATTCATAGCACATGTGGGCCGGGCAGTGGGCTGTGCTGTGTAAGCATGCATATATACTGTAGTGTACACAATAGCATCCTTTCATATTTGTTCGGCTGTTTGAATGGTATTGCTGTGTGTGTTGACTGGATTTCACACTGCTCTAAATTGCTACTAGTGGGTGGGACTGAATTATATTAGTAACAAGGATTCACGTTCTACCATAAGCCTGTTTACAAATGTTCTGACACTCAAGTTATCAGGGAGATTAAAACATACATGAAAGAAAAAACTGAAGAGGGAGTTGTCAGCGTGTCACAAGGCTCCTTCTGAGCTATGCACAGTGCAGAGCTGCAGCACTCTCATCAGGGAGAGAGAGAGAGAGAGTGGAGGGGAGGGGCGGCTGTGTCCAGATGGAGTCCTGTTTGTGTGGGACTCAGTGACTGCTGTGCTGCCTGGCTGAGAGCCTCAGCAGAGGTGAAAGCCTGTCCCAACAGTGTGTGTGTGTGTTTGTGCTTCTGTGTGTGCGCCGCCACTCCATGCAGCTCAAGGTCAGAACCACTGCAAACTGGACCGGAGGTGGGCTGCCATCCCCCTGGACCATGGTTGTGTCGGTCAGGACTCTGAGGAAGAGGTAGGCCTAACAACTTCACAGCCTTATCCCATGAACAGTGGCAGCGGAATGGGCCCAGCATCCCTCCATCAAGAGTAACACAGAGAAGGAATAGCCCAAAGCAGCGATGGAGAGTTACCACAGTCTTTTACAAGCTTCATCTCAGCTTCAGAGCACTCTGCAGCGTGAGTACACTGCACCACAGTCCTCATGTAACCTCTGTTTGAGAACATCAATCATTTGTATTGGAAAATGTCATAATAAAAAAGCCAATGCTATATTATTTGTGTTATATTATTCTAAAACTTAAAACAAAAGTTGTTTGAAAAGTCTATAGGCAGAAGTCAGACGCACGTACACACATGTACACACACGTACACTCATGTACACACGTGTCTTGTGCCATAATAATCTCAGTGGGATTTGTGGAAAACACTGAATGCATCCAAAGGATTGCTGTTAAAACAACTATGTGAAATAATGTATGTTTGCCCGTGATAATGTGTCTGACCAGAGTGATCGATGTACAGTTCTACCAGAGAGGGCTGTTGCAAGGATCAGGTTTTCTATTTTAAGCCTCCACACAGATGGGTTTTTGCTGATGATAATGATATGGAGTTGATAGACTATAGAAAAGTGAATGAATGACGTATTTATACTCTTATCAGCAATTGTATCTAAGGAAAGGTTGAAAGGCCTCTACTAATAATCTGTGCCCATATGGCCGACTTGCTGTAGGGTCAGCTGTCAGAGGCCTAATGTGATTACTATGGTGACTTGGCAGTCTGAATTAATGCTTAATTGATGGACCACTGCATTCCTCTATCCTGTTTTAACGTCACTGCTTGTGTGTAACTGACAACATAACTAAATGTGTATCCCTACTCCAGTTGTGACCTTTTCTCTGGGATAAATGATCCCAACACTCAAATCAGTGTATGCACCGCAATCAAACATCAAAGTTTTTTTTTCCTTTAAAACAATTATTATCTAGTTCCACATTGTTTGTAGACTCTCATTACAAAATAATAAAAAGTGAATTATAATTGATATATGACATCATTTCATATAACATGGAGGAGCTTCAGTCTAGTATTGTGCTTTCTACAGAACGTGCCATTCTAGACATGCCACTGACAAAAATGAGGGATTTAATCCTTTGAGGATTACAAGCTTGGATTTGGAATAAGCAATCAAAACAAGTTGAAACAATGAGCTAAAAATCATAGGATTGTTTTGCTGAAATTGTGATAATAAAATTGTAATAATTCCTCACACTTGGTGTGATGGATATGTTAAGGGAGAATGGCATTTCTGCCACATAAAACTATTGATGAGTGACTCAAGTGAGAACACTGTATCAGAGGCACCTTTAGCTGCTTGGAAGTGACATTATGTTGCCATGGTCAATGGCCATATAATCAAGAATTTGGCTTTTGAACTCGTGCTCTTATGTTTCCTCATAAAAGGACAGCGCCGCACTATGCTCATTAAACATATACAGTATGTAGTCATATCCCACGTTTCACAGCAGACATATTCTGTTACATCTCAGACCTATCTCCTCAAGGTCTTGTTGCTCACAACATAACAGCAGAAGAATGACTGAAACAGATCCCTCTGTACACACTCATGTGTGTCTGCGTGTGTTTGTGAGTGTGTGTGTGTGAACGCGCGCCCGGCCCACATCATCTGTTACAAACATTAAAGATTCAGCATCCAGCACCAGGGATGCATGCTCCCAGTTGTAGGAAGCAGCAAAACAAGTCTAAGACTATAGGTCCAGTCGTCTTCTGTATAATGGGATGAAATTTAGACTGATTTAAATGCATTTCTCTAAATGTGTGTAGGGTTTTGAACATGGCACTTTGTCCTAGTGCACTAGGATTGACTAGGATTGAGAATCATCTGGAGCTGTCTGAAGTACAGTGGAAAATGAAAGCCTATACATATAATGTACAAAAGATACAAAATTGTCTTCACTCTCCTGTTGTAGGTCATTTCTATGCATGCAAACTTCCGGTTGGTTTCCACTGAATAATATAACCATGAGGATTTCTATTCCCAACTTGGGCCCATGTATTCATTGTTGTCGTACTACTTCATTCTGTTTTCTCATAGTGCTTTGTGAAAAAAGTGTATGATGGAGTGATCCTGTCTCTTGTTGTTGTTGATCAGACAAAATACTGTTTTTATGCCCCAGTAAATGTACATCTAGTCTCTTTTCCTCACATTTCTGTACTTACAATGCACTGCCGAATATGAAAGGATTTTCTTTTTTAAACAGGAGAAATGTGTATGCATCTATTCCAGCCAGGCAGGTAACGCCATCGGACCAGTTAAACTATGGCATGCATTTACGTTCTGGTAGACATGACTTTCATCCCTCTTAAATGGTTAGATTCGAACATGAAATTGATAGATTCACATTTAGTTCTTTATTAGATTGATAGATGGATATAACTTGTATGGCTCTAACTGTTTTCACTGTGTATATTGGTGCAGAGGTAACTGTGCCCATCAGCCTGAAAGAGGTGGGCGGTTTCATCGAGAAGCAGGTAGCCTACTTGTCAGGTGAGGCTCTGTTATCAGGGGCAGTATTTGATCTGGAGAAGTCATTTAGTGCTCACTGCTCTTGTGCTGTTTGCAGGGGGACGAGGGGAGGACTCCAGCGTCATCATAACACTCCCAGAATGCTCTGCGTTTAGTGACATTCCTGAAGAAGCTTTAGCCAAAGTCTTTACATACCTCACGCTCATCCCCCGGTAGCTTCATCGAAAACACAAACACGAACACTCTCACCTCTTGCACCTGCACTGCAACAAAACGTCTCCAGCTCACTCAACTTAATTTTTTCATTTGTAGAAGCCCCAAATAACGTTTTTCTCAAGCTCAACACTAATGAAGTTTAAGTCCAAATGAATGTAATTTGAAGAAAGGCAAAACAAAAACAAATCAGCATTGACTCCCCATGCCACACTGGATAATTACCCTGCCTCTCTGCTTACTTTCTTTATAGAAAAAGGCAACCTGGAGTCAAGTTCATCATCATTTTAGATCGAAGACTGGACACTTGGCCTTCCATTAAAACTGCACTGGCAAGAATCTCAGTGAGTTATACATGTGATTCTAGGATTCACCTCAGAGCATGATGTGGCTGTAATTGAAGAGTGGTGATTGTGCGCTGTCTGTGGTGCTGAAAGTCGTTTCGTTTCGTGGCATTGTCTTCCTCAAAGTTTATTGCTGCAAATCTGTGACTCAGCAGAAGCTTAGAGGATGACGCGCAGGGCTGAGATGGAGAGGGAAAGTTATCGGAGTGAGAGAAAGAGAGAAAGGACAGAGGACAGCAGCGCTATGTGGGAAGGAAGTGGTCGTTCTTTACCTGCCATTGCGACGGGACTTTTAGGACAATGGCCTGCAACACTGACTGCGTTTACCGTCCGAGGATCCACGGAAACCCGGTAACGAGCAACATTTGAGATTCTATAGGAAGTTTAGGCGCGGACTGCAGACTGCGGCAGTATCTCTGCAGTGCGCGGTGATGCTTAGTCACGCGACTGCGTGCGCTCTGCAATGTGTGTGAGACATGAACCCTCCAGCAGCCTCCAGCGCCGTGCGCGCTCATTCTGAAATCTAACGCATGATTATTGATGTGTGATGTCTCGGCCTTTGAGGACACGTCAAAGACACCAGGGCCATATGTCATGTCATTTCACGTGGTAGATTTGGAATCGGCGACTATTATTTCCATGATTCCCTGTCTATTTCAAACTGTATGACTTGGAGGTAATACAAATAGAAGTACAGTTTAAACCATACGTATTCTCCATGGCGATAGATCAGTTTATAGTTTATGCCATATTGTGGAAGACATTAAAGCCTTGAAATTAGAAGAGGCCGTCCTGCATCCCCAAAAAAAAGGTGTTCATATGCTCACTTTGGGACTAAGTTTGGAACTGAACCCTGGAGTAGAGCATGACCAAACAATGCATGGATTAAACTAATCCTACCCTAAAACTTGGCCCAATATGTCATACATAATTGTTACCCCAATGATACACATTTAAAAATATGATAAACGCAACAAAAGTTCTGTTTACTCAAATTTGCTACAGTTTCAAGCTTTTAGTATTTCCCATTAGACTTCTTTTGATACATGGCATAAATGAACAATGCATGCTAATGCTAATTAATATAAAATGCTAAAGGCAAAATATAACCACAATCTGAGAGATTTTTGACAATGGCTGAAATTGGGTGAGTATGTATCCCCAAACAGCTGATCATACTGACATGGAAATCTCCCACACTTTGTTCTTGAGGCATCCTTTCCTGGAAATCTTCACCTGGTCCTGGTGCTGAGACCCACCAGCTTTTTCCACCGCACTGTGACTGACATTGGCTTTCGCTTCAGTCAAGAGGACTTCATGCTTAAGATGCCAGTAAGGAAGCCCCTCCTCAGTTACCAAACATGCCCACGCCCAGGTAGGACTATGTCACATGTTCAAGGTCAGGCAGAATAAAAGGTCAGGTTTTATCAATAAGGACAAAACGCTGTAATACCTCTAACAGGTTTGTGGTTCTTCAGGTGGTCATGCTGAGCTCTGTGACAGACCTTCTACGCTACATTGAAGAAAACCAGCTCACATCGGAGTTTGGAGGAACATTAGACTATTGCCACAGTGACTGGATAGTTTTACGAACAGTAGGCAACACACAGGACTCACATTCAGTACATTTCTTCCACTGTGATAACAATGGTCTTAATGTTGTGTGCAGGCGATTGAGAGTTTTGCCATGACAGTCAAAGACATAGCTCATTTGTTGCAGAATTTTGGCACTGAGGTGGCTGAGACTGATCTGCCCAATGAGACAAAAAACACAGAGTGCCTTCTGGAATCACAAACCAACAAATACAGGAAACTGAAAGTAAGGTGTAACTTGGTTTTGCATAGTACAGTGTGGTTTAATACATGTATAATGACCAAATCATAGTTATGTATCCCTTTCTTATTCAGGATGCAATCAGAACCGTGTCAAAAGAGGGTTGTCATCTGCTGTCAAATCTGCAGACGTCTGATAAAGGAGACTCTCACTGGGATGTGCGGCTAGACACTGAAACTGTGCACAGGTAACTCTCATTTCGCTGTGCACCATTAGTGATTCCCCAGCCCTCTGGAATTATTTTTTTTTCAAATACTGTAAATGTATATTGTACTCTGTTTCTCCCACATTAATATCACGTGCTCCTTCCTCTTCTTTAGGCTTCTAGCTCAACTCAGAGAAATGGAGTCTGCCTTTGATGGTTTCTTTGAAAAGCATCACATGAAACTACATCAGTACCTGCAGCTGCTGAGATTCGAACAAAGTTTCCAGGAGGTAACTGTGTTTTTTGTCACATGAGTCACCATTGTTACAGAAATGATTGATTTAATTTATTTTTTCATCTGAACCCTGTCCTCAGATGGAGATGTGTTTAGAGCATCTCCAAACTCAGGAGAAGGACCTTCTTTCTTCAGTCGACAGTCTTCCTCGAGCAGAGCAGGCACTGAAGAAGATGGACACACTTTGGTCAAGTGCTTTAGTATGTTATTTGTTACTAGTCTGTGTAAAAAAAGAACTTTAATAATCGTTGAGCCTTCACATAATAAACTTGTTCCCTCAGGATGTGATGTCACGGGCTCAGATCATAATCCTCCACGGACACCAACTTTCTGCTAATCACCATTATGCCATGGCGCTCATTATGCAGCGCTGCAACGAGTTGCGCCACTGCTGTGACACTCTGAACGTGGCTCTGAAGAGCAAACACACGGCTCTGCTGCAGGCGCATCAGCTGCTGCTCTGTCTGGGTCAGGTACGACTGCGACAACAGTCACACGGGAAACATTCTCCAGTCTCTCCTCTGTGACCACCTCCATGTGAAAGCCTGCTCTCAGACTTCAGTAGCTAACCAGGGCAGTGATGTGATGGGAGACCACAGTGGGGCGGCTGAGGCTTTAAAGCACTGGTCAAACATGTGGCCCATGAAATGGTAGTTTGTGGCCCCTGAGTGGAAATCAAAATTTAATATCAGGGTGGCCCCCACTGAGAGTCTGTGGCATTTTATACATTGTCTATCCATCTATTTTCTTCCCCTTAATCCATTTCTGGGTCAGGGAGGTGGCAGTCAGAGCTGCACCCAATTCACACAGCACCAGCCCCTCACTGATCCTCCTGCAGGTGGTGAGTCCACAGGGACCTTGATCTTTCAGCGGGAGCTTCAGGCAAAGTGAGGTTAAGTGTTTTGCCAAAGGACACAATGACAGCAGACATCAGTGGGAGTCATGAAGTAGGTCTTATGGTGGGCTCAAACACCATGACCTTCAGGCCCAAAGGCCAATGCTCTACCACTGAGCCACTGTCACCCCTGTTATACATCGTTTTAGAGTTAATTTATCAAGGAAACAACCACAGCATTGAACCCTGATGCAATGCAATGCCTTGTTGGTTTTTAAAAAGTTTTGTTTCAATCCAAGCAGCTGTTCATAGAAGTCAAACTCTTAAGTTACTCAGTAAAAGTAATTATTTGATCAAAATACTTTCATAATTCATGGATCAAATCAGATACAAAAAATGAACAAGAAAAAAGTTCTTGGTTTTGCTGTTTTTGTCTCTGTTATGCGCCCAAACTTTTACTTTCACTACTGTTACTGTTAAAGAATGAGAAGATGGCACAGTTTGTATTGTAGCGGTTTTTTATATTTATCGACGAGCTAAACTGTGTGTGCAAGTAAAATAGTTTGTGCTAATTTAGTGGTTTAATTCCCTTTGGCGTCATAAAAGCACAATAATTACTTTACTAATTAATTAATAATTACTTTGCCCCCTGTGCATCTAGGCCCAGACCTGGTGTGATGATGGAGCTTATCTATTGGCAAGTCAAGTTGGAAATAAGTACCAGTCTAAAGAAGGCGCGCAGTCTGCTTTAAAGGACATTGAGAACTTCCTGCAGGGGGCGCCGTCAGTACTGAGCTCCGGCCCTGAGATTGTAGCCATTGAATATGAAGCGATTCTTACTCCACAGCTGCAGGTGCAAAATGGGATCACTGAAACTTCACTCAGTCTCAAAACGCCAAATCTGAACCCAACTCCTGTCTTTTCAGTCTCAAATCCAAAAAACCTTTGAAAAATATGCAACAGTACAACAAATGATTCAGAATCGACAAAACTGTTTGAAAAAGTTGGCAGACAAACACATACGACCAGTGCAGCTTGTGGCCCCAAGAGCTGAGAACTCTCCTCGCTCAAAGTCTCCTCTCTTCTCTCCTAAGAACAGTATGTATATTCATGTTATTATGCGCTATCAGCTGTGTGTGCGTGTGTGTGTGTGTGTGCGTGCGTGCGTGTGTGTGTGTGTCCGCATTCGCATACATACAATAGAGCACAGGTCTTGCCTTTGTCTGCTCCCTCTTGTTCAATATTTTAGTTGAGGCTGGAGCCCTGAATTACCACATCACACACATGTCATGAGCTGGCTTTAGGCGGTGCTGAGGAGGCTGTTGGGTTAACTGGAGGCCTAACAAACAAGCTGAACAAGAGAGCAGCCCTAATCAGTCCCCAGTGACTCACCTGTCATGTGTGTTAGTTAGGCAGCTGTAGATGTACTGTGTGCTTCATATATATTAAAGCACCTTTCATCTTTTTGTGTCTTGAGGGAAGCTGCTCAGAGCTCACCATACAGTGAAAACCAATTAGAGCTGTGCACTTTTTTGCCAACATTTTTTTTTGTCACTTTAAACGGATTAATATCCTTTTAACATTTGTGCATCCATGCCTTTAAAGGTTTTACACACATTAATTAGATTAAATACAAGAAAGACAATGAGGGTGATTGGAAAAGCCTTTGAGGCCTTAACTTCAAAACTCCAGTGAACAACCTCTTAAGATCACAGATGAAGGGGAAAGTGGTAAGCTTTGATTGACTTGATCTGCTACACACATGCACACATGCATATAGATCTGTGATGAAGATGTAACGTGACACATGGACGCGTTCCACCCTCACATGCACGGACTCAGTGGGGCTGGCTTTGTGATGCTGCTGAGATCAAAAGGACAGAAGCAGTAGTGCCAAAGTACTCATCTAATCCACACCTTTAGATCTGCACATGACGCTTCATACCTCACCTTTTGAGAAGTGTCCTATTACCAATTATGATAGCAACTGTCAGTCACTAATGATTAATATTTGATGTATAGAATAATGGAGAAAGGTCACCGAAGGGGCACATACACATCTATGGCTTGCGAGATCAAATTGAGCAGTTATGAAAGAATATGTGTGCTGTAGGTTCCTATACGCTGCATGGGCTGTGTTTTAATGAGCTCTGCCCTGCTGATGGGGCATTTACAGGTGATGGCTTAAAGTTCACCTTTGACCTTTCATTACCCGGAAAGAGGACATCCAAAAAAGCCATTCACTCCAGAAAGGTAACTCTGTCATTATACTTCAGTCTGAAAACGTAATAATAATAATAATGTGTCCTGACATGTCGCACGTAGATCGAGGTTATCCATGACTACCAGGAGAGCCGTAGCTGCTTGTCGTACAGTGTGGAGGGAGAGGACAGCCCGGACGTCCTGAAGCGGTGAGCAAGGTCCTTCACTGGAGGCTCTTTCATCTGTGTGCAATGCATTGTGGTTATGTCTATGTCTCCCATGCCTTTGCTTTGTGTGGGCAGACGTGTCATGAGGGAATTGATCGAGACTGAGAGGATTTATGTGGAGGAGCTGCTGTCAGTGCTCTTGGTAATAATAACTTTTGATGGTGTTAAAGCCGTTGACAAAAAGGTGTGTTTGTTTCATACTTATACATGTTTCAGGGTTACAGAGCTGAAATGGAAAACCCGGCCTTGTCTGGTCTTCTGCCTCCAGAAATTGTCAGCACGAGAGACATTCTCTTTGGAAACTTGCATGAGATCTACAATTTTCACAGTAGGCAAGTGCTTATTAATAACAATGTGCTTTTTAAAAACTATCATTAACAACAAACAAAGCTTTTGTTTGAACAAAGCTTTTTAAACATTTAATTTTTGAATATCTCATCTGCTTCATATCCTGTTGTCTATCTGCACATTTGAGTTGAATAGTGTTTAATTCAATGCTTACTAAACTTGTCTGTAGGGTTTTCCTGCAGGATCTCGAGGGCTGCCTGGAGAGCCCAGAGGCTGTTGGTGCCTGTTTTCTAGAACGCGTAAGACACACTCTTTTACACTGTGTTCTTGATGAAAGTTTACCTTTGTTTTCTAAATGTATTTCAGAAAGAGTGTTTTCAGATGTATGAGAGTTACTGTCACAATAAGCCACATTCAGATGCTTTGTGGAAGAAGTTTTCTCAATGTACATTCTTTCAAGTGAGTTTTTTAATCAAACTAATTACACCTAAAGTCTTATTATTCCTCTTTACAATCTTTATATTTTTTCATTAAGGAATGTCAGAAAAAACTAGAGCACAAACTTGGTCTTGATTCTTACCTTCTAAAACCAGTGCAGCGTCTGACTAAATACCAACTGCTGCTCAAGGTGAGCTTCACCGTGTGTGTTTTATATTATATAACTACCACTGTCCAGGTTATACCATCAACTGTAGACTTATAAGTTTTCCACTTATTTTTACCTGTAATAATATTACAAGATCTTATGGACCAGTATTATGGCTTTAAGCAAATATAAATAATGGTAAAAAACCAGACCTAAAACATTGGGCCTCATTCACGAACGGTTCTTAGGAACAGATTTGTACGTAAATCCTACTTACGCGGTTTTTACGAAGAAAGTGGCATTCACGAATATTTCTCGTAACCAGAATTTCTCTTGGGCAAGTACAAATCCTACGAGTCCTCAGGAGCACTCGTACGCATTCAGTGCCGACATGTTCACACGCCGGGGTTGTCCTCTTTGGTGAAGTTTAATAAAAATACAACATTCCAGTGATATGTCCGTCATATCGATGTATGTATTTATTTATTTGTAGTAATCTTTATTAGTAATCTTTATTTATATACCGCCTTTTTCACTGCAGATCTGGCCTACTTTTTAATTCATTTTGAAATGAAATGTGCCAACGCTTTATCAAATACATTGGAAATCTTGCCGTGTATTAGTGACCCCTTCCTATTTATAGGGAGCATTTCTTTATCCACGGGCCACAGAACAACGGCATATATACTGCTGCTGCAGGAGGTTACGGGGTCCGCACTGAGTCTCTGCGCTGGTCTCTCCTATGGATCTATACGGGTCTGCACTGGTCTCTCCCATATACGGGTCTGCACTGGTCTCTCTCCATACGGGTCCGTGCTGCATGCTCCTGGATCCATACGGGTCCGCGCTGGTCTCTCAAGTCTGGTCTATGCGGTCTCTCTTCGGTCCGCGCTGGTCTCTGCGCACCGGTCTCTCCAGTCAGGTCACTCCAGTCTATGCGGTCTCTCCTATAGGTCCGCGCTGGTTTCTGTGTGCTGGTCACTCCAGTCTCTCCTCGGGTCTGCATTGGTCTCAGCGCTGGTCCGCGCTGGATCTCCTCCCAGGGTCCAAAATATTTTGAGATTAATCTCAAAACATTTTGAGATTCATCTTTAAAATAATACATAATATATTTTTAAATTAAGCTCATAACATTTTGAGATTAATCTCATCATATTCTTAGATTAATCTCATAATTTTGCTAGTTCGACTTTATTATCATAATATTTCGACTTTTAAGTCAACATTTTATAACTTTATTCTCAGTCTGGCAAAAGAAGAAAAAAGGGTGACTCTTTTGCTCCGTGTAACTCTTTGCTTTAGGCCTGTTGCTGTTTCCTCTGGCGTCTGCACACGGCCCTGCAGCCCCTTATATGGGCATTAATGGGCGGTTACTTATGCTAAGTACCTATGCTAATGAAGCACCTGGCACGCGCGCTGTACTTACGAGGAAATGGGATTCATCAATCTGAGAGAACAGCTGCGAACAATTCAGCGGCTTACGAGTGCGTTGATGAATCCCACGTGGGGACTTCTTAGAAATCTACTTAAGGACAACTTGAGAAGAAAGTTGAGTAGTTTCTTACGAAGTTATTCGTGAATGAGGCCCATTGAACCTCCACTGCACATACAGTGAGTACGTTGACCCTTACATTTTGTTTTATTGTGAAGGAGCTGCTGAAAAACTGCAGCACAGAGTCAGAAGGAACCTCAGATCTGCAAGAAGCTTTAGTAGCAATGTTGGACTTGGTGAAATCTGTAAATGACTCCATGCATCAGACGGCCATCACAGGATATGAGGTGAAGAGGCTGTTGTATTTCGGGGTGATTGTGTGTCTGATGATGGTTGGTGTATTCAGGGGCAGCTGTGTGAGCTGGGCAGAATGCTACTGCAGGGCTCCTTCAGTGTCTGGATCAGTCACAAGAAAGGAGCTACACGGATGAAGGAGTTTGCCCGCTTCAAGCCCATGCAGAGACACATGTTCCTCTACGAGAAAGCCCTGCTCTTCTGTAAACGCCGTGAGGAGCACGGAGACGCCTCTGACAAGACTCCTTCATACAGCTTCAAACACTGTCTCAAGGTAGGCTCCTGATTTGTTGAAGGCAACATTCATTTTTCAGAAAAAATTACCTCTTTCAATATTCTGGGAATGTTGGTGAAAATCTCCTTCTTGTGGCCACTGTAAATTCTTCAGGTTAATAAACTGGTTTATTATATGACATGGATTGTACGCGCACTCTGATATTTTCCCACCTCGGGCCGTTATCATGACAATTGGTCCGCAGCGTGAATCAAATTTGATATCTCTCCTCGGTAAAAAAATAAATAGTGAGCGACGACTCTGAGCATTCTCCCAGTGAATTCTATTATCCGGACAAGTTCGAAGAGCCAGAGGAAGTAATAACTGAAAATAACGACGAAAACACAACTCCTAACAGTCAGGAAGAGATTGACAACTTCATTACAGACCAGAAAGGTAAAAACACGATTAGGAAAACCAAGTCGGACATGAACATACTTCACAAATATCTAAAAAGCATTGGTAAAGACACAGAAGAGATTGAGAACTTATCAGCGGCGACCTCAATCATCTGATAAGTTCTTCATGTCACGGTTTGACAGTTTGGTTGCAGTTTGGTTGCATATTTGCACAAATTAAAAATAGTCATATAATAAAACATTTATTAACCTCACTTATTAACCTCACTTATTAACCTCGCTTGCACAGACCTCGCCACGGCTCGGTCTGCACAAAAAGACAGCGGTCTGATATTTCTCTGTACAGACCTCGCGCTCGTTTAATAAGCCGTTAATATTATGCAAAATTGTATCATCCGTTGGTTAGGCTGACACTGTAAACTACTCACAAATCTGTGCCTCTGTATTCAGGGAGAATAGATTTGAAGATTAAAATGTTTCACTTTTTTGATAACCCCAATAGCTATGAAGTTGGAATGTTGGGTAAATTATACATATTAAAAATGCCACTCAAAATTACACTAAAAGATGTTGGTGGTAAACTACTACAGTAGCCTCAGTTCAGTTCAGTTCAGTTCAATTTATTTTTGTATAGCCCTAAATCACAACAGCAGTTGTTTTGGAGAACTTCGCCATCAAGATCAGAGAAATAAACAGTTTATCACAGGGAATGCAATAATTACAAACACATGAATTGATGGAGCCATTGGTCCATTGGGGGCAGTTTGAACAATGTCCATACATGTTTATAAATGTGTATAAATGTCCTGGATCATCACAGTCATTAATCCCACCTGCACTCAAATAAGAAAAAAACATTTTAGAAAGCCTTCGATCCAGGACACATTAAGACAAGTTTCTTGCCCCACTGTGGCTCCTGGTGTTCTTAGAGGTCTCTCATAACAAGTAGTAACCAGGCCCTGTCCTGTTTAGCTTTTGAGATCTGACAGTACCAGGCTTTCACATGCAGGTGGCGCCAAACATGATGCAATGCTTAGCAAATCCTGTGTAACCAAATTGAAGTGGAGAGACCAGTGGATATAAGGAGCATCCCATTCACCATTTTGTGAACAGTGCTCAGTTTGAATCTCCATCAGGAATCAACAGCTTCAAAGGCTGCATCTGTGTCCAAGACATCGGTCATATGCACATGTGTGAAGGCACCGTTCATGGTGAAAGGTACAGGTTTTGGAGCAACATTCTGCCATCCAAGCAATGTCTTATTCAGGGATATTCCTGCTTAATCCAGCTAGAATATTGCTGATCTGCAGGAGAATCCTTCACGTGTTAAAACACCATGACTTCATAGTGAGGATGGTACTAGAACTGCCTGGCTGCAGTCCAAACCGCTCTCTTTATGAGAGGCAAAAGATTCCTTGTCCCGGTTTTTCAGACCTTGATGAAGATGTCAAATCCAAAATTAGTAAATATTTGCAAGTGTTTACAATGAACATGGATTAAACAAGATTTTGAAAAGATTTAATTTTTCATTTACAATTTTAACAATGTCCCAACTTCATTGCAATTTATGTACCATGTGATTTCTGATGGGTTGCACTAATCTTACATATCAGACTCATGAGAGCAGCAGCAGAGCGTGATTTATTATTAAGTCTGATGGGAGGAGGCAGTGACACTGGTGGAGGTCTGCTGCAGATGTTACATGGCCGAGGGCGACTTCATGTTGCTTCTGTGTTCCTGCATTGACTGCATGTCTCCTGACAGATGACAGCTGTTGGAATCACAGAGAACGTTAAAGGAGACGTCAAAAAGTTTGAGATCTGGTACAGCGGCAGAGAGGAGGTCTATGTCATTCAGGTGAGGGCACTCTTGCATCATAAAGAGTATATTATATATTCATATATATATATATATATATATTAGAGTTTGTTCTTGTTTGTTGACAGGCTCCCACACCAGAGGTTAAGACAACATGGTTGAATGAGCTACGAAAAATACTGACAAACCAGCAAAAACTCCTGAGAGGTAGACAGCAGACTTGTACTTCTGTGTAATGCGCTGTGTTTCCAATGGCACGTGTATTTCAAACTCATGGTGAAACCCTTTGTGTTCAATCTGCGCTGTTGTTTTCATTCCTGCAGAAGAGGCTCATCAACACGGCCCTCTGTGTGAACACGTGCAACTCGAGAGGTCAGTGGCTCACTCATCAGGCTGGTGACGGGTTTGCATTAGACACATATTTCAACACAGCTTCTTGTGTATTGTGGGACAGAGTAAGACAAAGCTCACTGTGTCCAGTGCTGTTTGGTTGCCTCTCCCCCCTGCTCCCCTTCCCCCTTACAGGGGCATGCGTCCATCCAGAGGGGTCCCCAGGGGCTGTGTGCCGGGGCTGGCTGTGACTCTGTCTGCAGACCTGCTTCTGTGCCTTCGGCCCCACCCTCAGCGCCACTGACCTCCCCTATCACTCAGTGGTAACACTTTGGCTCTCCTTGCTCTGGCATGAACCTTCAGGCCCTGCTTAATGTAGCCCAGAGTCACCTGCCCATTATTAAACTCCATCTCGATCCGCAGTGCGCTTCTCCTAAAACTTAAACATACTTTGTTTTCATGCGTAAGTATCATACATGCTGAGGGGGGAAAGGGGTTTTCTCCATTCATTACATTTTTTAGGTTATAGCAGGCTTTAAGGACATGTATTCTGCTGCTTTCCTTATGTTTATTATTCTTAATATTCATCTCAAACTTACTCCAATCATATCAAATCTTTTGCTGCATTGACACATAGCATACATAACATAAGCTCTGTTCATGGGGTTGATCCTGGACACTGTGTTGGAGGCAGAGGTGGGCAATAATAACCAAATAAACCAATACTTTGAAGAACTTTAATAGAAATTGATCAAACAATATTAAGTTTGTATTAGTTTTAATCATTGTAATTGTGACATTGTACACAGCAAACATTGATTTCATGAATTGGGAACAATTTCACATTTTGTTTTTCAATTTGATCTTTTTGCAGATTTTTTTTTATACAATATACCTCCAAGATTTTTCAAAATCAATAATCATGCAACATTTTAAACATATATGGAATAAGTAAAAATGCCCACCTCGAGTCGCAAGAGGATCTCTCTGAGGTTTAGTCTTCCACACAAAGCATGAACCAGTCTTTTCTTTTGTTGTTCCTACAGTAAACAGCAGAGGGCGTCCGTGAGTTCAGAGGACACCGAGTCCGGCCGGAGCAGTCCAGACCAGCATTCAAGTTCTCCCAAACAACAGAACCGCAGGAGTGAGTTTCATCATCATCGTTATCATCATCAAACTTTATTCCAGCCTCATGGTCTAGAATAGTTTCACCTGAACACTAAATGCAATGATCCAAAAGTAAATTTGATCATACAGTAAAATGCATTTTTTTTTTTATTGAAGCCAAGAATCTGCAGACATTACCTAGCCAAACATTAGCCTATCAGCAAGTTGTAATTTATTCACAAAAAGTTACTTAAACAAGACTTTCTGCTGGGACCAACACAATGTATGTATGAAACAAAATAGGCACTCCACTAGTTTGCCCCACAAGTAAACAAAGTAATGTAAAGTTTTCATACTTGCTTTTTAGAATATCATCATACCAACAGAAATACTGTGCAGAGATGTTTGAATATCACCGAATGAAAAAGTCACTCAACACTAGTATTCTAATGTATTCCAAAAAATTCCTTCCCGGCAATGTTCATGGGTCAGGCTAATCCCCCTAAATGATCTATAACAGCATTTTTGTTTTTTTGGGGCAGAAATGTATTGGATGTGATGTTTTGGAAAAGCCTACTATACATTGACCACACACATGTTTAGGTTGGCCCGGGGCTCATCACGCTGCTGAGGCTGCGGAGGAGTGGTCTGGACATGGTGATCCTTTTCATTTGTCGGACTCAGAGGGGGCGACTCTGCTGACACTGGTAAGATTCTTGAAAACAACAATGATCGAAATAATGTTTAATTGTATCTTTGTGTCAGCTTCCAGGCAGATATGTAGCTTTGTCAGACTGCCCTGAGAATGGAACTAAAAGTGTGGCCATAAAGTCTGGAGACATCATTCAACTGAAGCATGAAGAAAAGCCAGAGTTATGGTGAGAGTTTAGGCAAGCACATTGTTTAGTCAATAGAATATATTTTACAGGGCTCGTTATCATTTGGTTTATGGCCAGTTTTTCATTTACATATTTGTGTATGCGTTTTAAAGAGAGAGCTTTTTGTTTTGTTTACATACAGTGGAAACCAGACGTTTGCATACACCGAATAAAATACACATAATGATTTTGTCGCAGTCAGAAGTAAAAAAAAAAACTATTGATTTTAGATCGGGGCTTTGTGATTAACTTTTAGGTGTTAAAGCCACTTTGTAAATACTTTGGCCGTATTCTTATGTCATTATTTTGAAGACCAATTTCCACCCAAACTTCAAAATTTTTGCTGATCTTTTGAAATGTTACTTCAATATTCCCACAAACTGTTCCTTCTTCATACTGCCTTCGATGTTATTAAGTGCACCAGTTCCTCCTGCAGTAATGCCTTCTACCTTGGAGAACAATCTTTCAGGACATGTTTGTGTAAAACTCTTTCTACTTTGGATAATGAGATTCCAGCTTCAGCCAACATCTTCAGCAGTTCTTTACCATTAGCTTTAGATTCTCGAGCGGATTCTCTCATTTCAGCCCACAACATTCTCATAACTGGGACAAAGCAGAACGTGTATGGCACAACTGTAAACGAAGACACGCCTGTCTGCCCATAATAAAAACGACGAACAAGCAGAACACTGATGAAAGAGATGAAAGAAGAGCACAACAAAGCAGGCCTCTGCCTAAAGTCACAGTTCCATTCCTTAAAAATCCTGCATTTCGACAGTGATTCCCTATCGTATGTTTCCTGTTTCGGATAAACCTCACAAACATGCAAACAGACAAATGACAACTATCACTTTACCTTCTGGCCAGAGGTAACCGCTAGTTTAGAAGTGTGATTTCAGTAATGTATGCTCCAACATGTATAACAAAACATCACAATTCACATTTGACATCACCACCACAGGCCTTTCTGTGTGGAGTTTGCATGTTCTCCCTGTGTCTGCATAGCTTTCCTCCTTGTGCTCTCTTTTCCCCTACCACTATTTTTTAATGTATTTCTTTTTTTACAATGGGTCTGAATGTAATGAGAGAGTGAATGGATGGTGTTGATTGGAGGCTTGTGTATATGGGATGTAAATTAGTAACTTTGGTAACCTTTTTCTGTCCTATTATGCTTGAAATCTCCAATTAACATGAAAAAAAGTAATTCATTTTCTTTTAATTTGTATTATACAGTATATGCTATATTTGATTTATTTGTGATTATGTTGTTGTAGGCTGGTGAAAAACCTGTCAATGCAAACGGAGGGCTTGATGTCCACAGCCAGTGTGCAGTCAGTATTGATGTGTTGTCAGAGGGGGCAGACGAGCAGACTGGGCGGTGAGTCCCTCTGCTAATACTATCAACAGTGCTGTGTGTGCAGCGGACTCACGTGTCTGATTCTCTGTTCTAGAACCAGCCACTCTAAAGATGAGAAAACTCAGCACTCCGTAGCCTGGACTATAGATGGGAGGAGTTTGTAGTTCATTGTGGTGCTTCCTGCATTCTGCTGTAATTTACACAAAAGGAAATTGCCTTGGATCCTCAACAGCCGAGCCGAGAACTAACTTTGTTCCTGCATCAGAAACACACTGAATGTTTTACTCCAGTTTTTATGAGCATTTGTCCATTGCAGCTAATTATTTATTATTCAATTTCTATTTGCACATTGACAAGACATTTTATAAATTTTATATGTTTCTATTAATATGCTTTTTACAATATAGCCTCCATTCCGTTTCCATATTCTCTTAACCATTTAAAAGCCAAATATTAGTGATTTTTATATGCCTGTTCTTCCTCTAAATGTGTTCTGGCTTTAACTTGAACTAAGATACCAAGCACTTTACTAAGATGCAAAAAGGTCTTCTCAGTTTGACTATGCACTTTTCTTTCACTTTGAAAGTTGTCAAGTGCATTTTATATGGAATGTGTTGTGCTGCTGCCAGTGCGTTTCGCGGTGATAAAATGATATTTGAAGAATCTGGTAATCGTCCAGCGTGTCCAGCTCCTGACGCTGTGGACTGAACCCTGAGTGGCTCTTCTTTCCTCATCCCCGCACCATTCATCTGAGCTCTTCAGCTCACATGAAATATACCCTCTATGTTGAACACTTAATTAAATATTGATAACAGTCTTAGATTAATTTGCCACATCAATTCGAGACCCCAGTTGGAGGGATGCCTTTGATTCACAACGTTTGATATGCAAATACGTTTTTAAAGCTGCAGGAATTGCATGATACACTATTCATATGTTGCTAACTTCAGTGTTTTTGCCATGTTGTTATCTTGTTTCTTGACTTGTTGAACGTGTGGAACTCAAAGGATTGACCTTCATTCTGTTTCTCTTTTTTGACTAAGTTGGGTGATTTTAAATGTCATTGTACAATTCATGTCCAAATGCTGCAGATTTTGCACAGTTTTTCAATTTTGGAAAACAAAATATGCTTGAACAGTTATGTTTATTCAAATACTTTGCACATAAAAGGAACTGAACCAGTGTCTTACTGTCTCTTTTGTACTGAACTAATGTTCCATTATGAAACAAATGTTTTAGATATTTTTTATTGGCATGATTATTAATAGAGCAATGGCAGAGTGGGTAGCCCTCATGCCTCACATTTCCCTCACTATTCTCCAGTGAAAAGACTCTTAACCATGTAGCAATTCCTGCTCTTGACAAGTAGTGTTGAAGGATGGATGATGAGCAGAAGACAGGAATTTCCATATGGGCATAAAGCATTCCTTACCTATACCGTACTTTGTCTTCATTATGGAGTGATTTACAGTCGTCTGTGAGATTAATGACTCCATAATGTCCATGTGTTCGTTAATTTTTACAGTCTATGTGTTCATCCACGTGGGACGACAGTAGCTCAGTTGGTAGAGCATTGTCCTTTGGTCCGGAAAATTGTGGGTTCGAGCCCATCACGGGACCTTCACCAACTGCTCCCACTGCTGTCGTTGTGTCCTTGGGCAAGACACTTAACCCCACATTGCCTGAAGCCCCTGCTGAAACACCAAAGCTGTGGCACCACTGATGTAGCAGCCATCTTCCTGTGGATCCACCACCTGCAGAGGATCAGCGAGGGTGTTTTGAGAAATGGGGGGCAGCTCTCGAAATTGACTAATCAAGGGGTTGAAAATGAAATGTTCATCCACACCATCTTCCAGTCGGTGTTTACTGATTACTCCTCCTGGATCCAGCTGTAGTACAGATTCTCTGACAGCACATGTGAAAGGGATGACCCTGGCACTGCTGCCATTGAACAGCGCCTCCACATGGTACAGGCCACCACACCCAGAGGCTCACTGAGCCACTCACATGTGGCACCAGGGCAGTACAGTGGAGGAGGAGTGAGTAGGGATTTGAAAAAGACTTTACATTTTTTTTTATTTTTTATAATTAACCAAGAACAATGGGAAAGTCATTAAAGGGTCACATTGGAGTTGCATCGTGGATCATCTTTACACCATGAAAAGGTATATCCCACAATTCAACATAATCTCGTATCTCCTGAGACAATTGCAAGTTTCTTTAGCTGACTTTTTTGTTTCTAACCCACTTGAATAATAAAGGGGGAATGATCAAGAGTTATAACCCACCAGCTGCTCTTTTCCGTTGTAGAATAAGAGACCACTACCAGGGCATCCTGTATAAAACAGTTTTATATGTCAAATGCTTCCCTTTAAAGTGGAAAGTTGAATGATATTTCAGATTGAGTGTTGGCAGAAGCTTCTGTGTGGTCCCTTAAAATTGAAATAGATCTTGAGCAAAAGGCATTAAACCAGCTGAGGGATCTCCCCTCTGGAGACCTGAGCTGCCCTGTTTGTGTTTGTGTTTGTGTAGTTGAACTGCTCTTATTGTGGTGATGGATTTGGACAAGAACCTTTAGAACATGTGTTGTTGTACAATGTACCCACTCAGACACCGTGGTTGGTCTAAACCTAAGATTGTAAGTATGAATTGAGCAAAGAGTTTTAATTAAATAAGGCTGGAAATATCCAGTTGTAAATTCATGTTGGATTTTAATGCTGTGATGAGTAGTGCTCTTGATCGATCTTATCTCTCTCTAAACTCTAATCAAACTTGTATTACAGAAGCACTCATCCCATGATTTGACGAGGGCTATTGATTAATTGCATATGATGAATGCTTGCAGTTGAAATTACATGCCAAAGTCTTTCAAGTCTTTTTTTTTTAAATTTGTGTTGTGTCTGTTTTTGGGACATTTCTAGAGTTTCTCATTGTTTGTATTTCTGACCGCAAAGAAGTTAACGTGGATGCCACATTGATATCATTGCCCCCATGCATTCATCTTTGATCCTTCAACACTTTACAATATAATGATAATTTCAAAGCTCCATTCATAACTAAAGCTGTGGTCATGTTGAGTTTGTTTCTTGTTGAGAGACAGTAACTGCTTCAAAAGATTAGAAATTTGTTTTAATATCTTTAATATTTATATTTCAGCTTTAATTGATTATATCACATTCTATGATTATTGTGATTTTGAACTGCTAAAAAATATGTCATGGTTTTGGAAAGCATGACATAATTCACATAATTTAGCCCATACGGCGTCAGACTCAAACATTCAAAAAATTAGAAATAAGAAAACCACATCGTATATACTATCATTTTTGTCGATCAGAAAGTACAACCCGACTATTGTTGTACTATTACATTTAGCCACAAGATGCCACAATTGTACCTCATTCACATCTGGCTCCAGCGTTGGCTCAGTAGCTGTAGCGGTTATGATTTTAATTATGGACTAGCATATGTTCACACTGAAGGTTTAATTTGAGTAGATCAGATTATATAGGAGAAGTGGTGAATGAAAGTTTCTTGATGAGATTAAACAATGTGTGTTTAAATGCAAATCATGAAATTAAAAACAAGAAATCAAGGTGGTTTGCATCATCCAGGAGTGATCTAAAGTTAAAAGAAAGTTTCAAATATTGTCTTCTGCAAGCTTTCAGCAAAGAGAAATGTCAACTCCCATGAACAAAGTCATTTTGAAATCTGAAGAGAAGATTATTTTAGGACTGGATTCACGATGTAGTTATCTAATCCTTCGTTCATCTCATTTAGAGATTTGAAAATGACTTCTGGACATGAGTCAAAATATCCCACGTGTACATAAGATTGTGAGATTTTCTCCAGCCCTTTCGCCCTCCGGGACACCATTGAACATGGGTAGAGCCACATGACTTATGAAAGCTTTATTCCACCTGCACACTGGATCCTCGTGGTGTGTTTGGACACACAGATAATATTGGTGTTATATGATGTAGTTGCTCTGCTGACTCAGGGACCACAGAGGCTGCTGTGGTGTAGGGCCTGCAGCACAAACCCCCCACCGGGACACTGCACTCGTCTTCAGTGTTGGCAACCGTCACAACCGCCCATTTATATTTCAGCAAATCGTTAAAGGCCTCAATTATTCATTGTGGAGTAAATAACACTGCCTGCTTGATGAAGACATTTGATAGATCATAATTACGAGGTCAGAATAAAATAAGAAAAAAAGTACAGCAAATCATAGTATCCAGTATCCAGGGTCCGCTCTGAACTGTTTCACCGATACATCCCCTCCACATGTGTTTGTGAGTCAGTCGGACGGATGAACACTTCTGAACTCATCACTCCCCTGCCCTTTACTACTGTCACCTTGTACTACTGTCTCTTTAACTGCACTGTACTTAGTGTGCACTTGTAAAAAGTAGAAATTTTAAGACATTTTATGAAGATTTTTTCTTTATATCTTTAATACATCTTTTACAACTTGTTTGCACCATGAGCCAAAGCAAATTTCTAGCTTGTGACTAGTTTATTACTTACAATGGCATAAAAACAAAACCAAACATACATGATAAAGAAGATTAACAGGGGTATTTTATAACATAAAAGCCAGGGGTAGATTTATTCCCACACAAAAAGCACCATGTCAGGTTTCCATAAAATAGGCATCAGCAGCTGTTGTTGTGTGTTGTTGTGTCACAGGTAGCATGCTTTGTGTGATGTCCTTTGGTCTGACTGGCTCTGGTCACCGGGCTGCGTCTCCTGGGGACAAGAAACTAGCTATTTATCAAGTCTTTGTTTTGGATTGTTTATTTATATAATTTATAATTCTATGTATTAAAATATTATGTTTTTTAGGAATATGGATAGACCAGATAAAATGTTTGGGCACCCAAGCAGAGTTAATCCCTTTGATAATCAAGACCTTATGATCTTATAGACCAGGCGTTCAACTATTTAATTTCACCTATGAATTTTAGTCGTCTCCACACTCAGACAAACCACAGCATGAAGGAGATGCAAAAGGTACGTGACAAGAATATACAGTACAGGGGACTCGATCTAAACATAAACACCCGCCAAAAAGTTGGCTCAACTTTTATGTAGATAATTGTAAAAAAAAAAAAAATACAATAGAATCTTGC